CCGGCCATGTCCAAAGCCACAGAACCAGCGCGAACGGTACGAGCCCTGTCTGACTCGGCTTCGTCACCTTGGGTTGGTTCCTTCTCGACCCCCTCGACGTAAGAGGAGAGTCCTTTGGCACGGAAATAGGCAGAGAGCTTGTCATGCCACACCTGGGCGTTCTTCTTACCCAGGAGTCTAGGCAGGTCGACGACCTTGCCTACGGTGGCCATGGCGTTCGGTGTTGGGGTTTGATGCGGGGATAATTATTTCTTGTGGAGTGGCGATCTTCAACCAGTGGCTTAGCCGGCGATAGGAAGTGATGCCCAATGGTAAGAGCAATCTGACTTCTAATCTATTGAATACTGTTGTACAGTCTTCAGCACCTATCACCTGGTAAGATGAAAGAGCATGAGAAAGCACAACAGGCTCCACAACACACCCCGCTGCGCGTCCCTGAACCTTCCCGTGCCACATTGGGCATTTGGTCCCGCTACGTTACGTAACTACTTGTCTACCGTATACGTCTATACTCGCAGCGTCCTGCGTACTGAACTCCAGAATCCAACACCAGCGACCGACAGAGGAATGGCATCTTCTTCCCTCCCGCCCCCTGCATTGGACCCTCCCGAAAAGGGTTGCGTTGCCGCTGGGAGACCGAAGGGACAAGGGACGTGGGTATGTCGAAAGGGAATCTGGCGACGCAATCCGCGAATAGGTCTGTTTCGGAAGGCAAGTCGACATTGAGAGGTTCGAGGGGAAGAGCAGGGATACCCATATCATCATCCAGGTCCTCCATATCCGCGTCTTCACGCATAGCGAGATCGGTAGAAGGACCAGGTCCTGGGTCCAAAGGGAGAGACTGCACGTTACTTGAAGAGCAGACGGAGGGGTAGACATTGGTGGTGGTGGAAACGGATAGAGGGGATGGTGTATAGCCGTTGGAGGGGCTGCTTGCCCGGCGGTCTATAGAAGACGTGCACATTGCCTAGCTCCCAGGCTGGTCGCTGTTGTTCCCAGAAGAGATCTGAGCCTCGATGGAGTTGCCAAGTTCTGTATTGCATAATGCGGCCTTGAGGGGGGCATTTTGGGCATCTGCACCGTATCCTGGTTCGTTGCGTCTGGCGAATACATCAGCTGTTAGGTCTATATAGCATGCTATGACTCACAATGTGCGGACCATCATACCTTATACTCTCCCCTTCCAGCACATCCTTGTCGGCATGTCCTTTTCTGGTGGCACAGACCGTCAGCACAAGTTGAGATATACATGGGACTCTTCGACGCACCTGAGAGTTCTTGAGGGAGTCATTTCCGTTATCCATCTGGACAAACTTTCCTAATAACTCTGCCTTGAGGGCCGGGATCTCCGCAATCCTTTCTTCCAACATAACACAGCATGATGAGCATCTGGGCCGATTTTCAAGCTTCCTTGTCCGACGTTGAGTCATCTCACACTTGCAACAGGGGAAGTGGTGATATGATGGGTTCGAACCACGCTGCTCTTTCTTCGTGGTGAATAAGACGGACCACTCACACGCATCACCCAATGTATCATGAGCATGTCATGGCAGCAACAACCTTCTACGGTAATGACTGTCTAATACGCGACTTCGGGAGTGACTTTCGACCTAACGTTACTCGATACCTTGATCTTAAACGCAGCACATAGCCCTGTTTCAATTGATCTCCCGCACATATTACATCCACATACCATCGATCCTCGAGCCTTTTGAACCATTTCACGATGTCGAATTCTGAACCTGGATCCTGAAGATTGTATTCTGTGATCAGTCGCACGAGAAGATAGATGACAACAGTCCGCGGTAGAGGTTGCACCTACGTTGATCCAGCCACCAAGGGCCAGCGTCATGAGTCTGTTCAGGAGATAATAGAGTATTCCATATGCCTCAGCCCCTTTCTGCGTTTTGATTATATCCCATGCGTCTAGTTGATCAATACGCATGCGCGAGAAATGACTGAGGATGATATATCCTTCGCTACAAACAGTTTAGCGTCTCAGAAATCAATTCAACACTGTGAAGAAAATCACTGACTCGGTAACGCTGTACAATAATCTCACTTTAGCACGCGGTATCTCCCCATCTTTCTCCTCCAGAAAGATGTCCTCGATAGCGTGGCAGCAGATGCTGCCATATACCTCAACCTGAGAGGGTCTTTAGAGGAAAGAACAATCAAAAGTATCGTTGAATGCACTGACGAGGTGTTGAACTGCAAGTAGATGCCCATCGGGCTTGATATACTTTTTGCTGAAGAGATCGTTTAGGAGATGCTTCAATAGAAGTAGATACTTTCGGGTATCTGCTTCCTCCTGCGTCCACTCTATTTTCAAGCATCTCCGAAGACAGTGTTCAGAATGTACTCTTATCATTCGAAAGTCGACGAGGCAATTGTTGAAGTTCAGCCGCGCGAGAGCATGATTGATATCAAAAGTATCAGGCCGTAGTGGTGAGGTTGTGTCAGAGGGTGAAAGCGAAGACATGCCGGGCCGAAAGAGTTGGGTGGCGGTGCCAGAGTGGGACAAGGTACGAGGGCCGTTTACAAACAGTGACTGACCTTGTTTGGTATATCTGCTCTCGAATGCATACTCGTGTTTGAAACCGTGTTTCGGAGCATGGTTGTTGATGCAGGCAGCGTTCACAGAATCGACACAGCGTCTGAGCCTCATGCAGACCGCAAGGTGTGTTGATGGATAACGGCGCGGTAGTTGGTGGAGGGGTGCCGATCACATGAGCGAGATCCTTGCGGTGTCAACACTTGGTTGATAGAACAAAGATGGGCGCAGATGTCTTGTCATCACCCTCTATATTATATTCGTACTACCTATATGATGCGCCGCCGGGCCGCAGCCTGCTCCTAATCTTCTCGGTCGAGGAACGAAGCACCCTTGTCGTTCTCGATCTTGCGAGTGAAATTGGTGTACCATTGCTGGAAGACTGAAAGAGGGATCTGGGTGGTGGGTCTGAGCAGCAATCAGCCTTCCCATTCAACAACATGAGGACTATCAGTGACTCACGTTAAAGCTCCTTCACCACCAAAAGAGTGCAGGTAATTAAACAACTGCAGATCAAGCCCATCAGTAAAGACACTCGCGTCGTCTAGCCTCGCACTCACATTCCTGACCACTTTCTCTGCAATCTTCCCAACATCCAAATTTCTCACCATCTCCTTGCCCTTGCCCTCAGTGGCCGCATTGAGCCCTGCTTGAATGACCTCCAGCTGTGCCAGGGACGCGACTTCGATACCGAGCTGAGCGGGTGGGGACGGCTGGCCGATGGTAGCTCCAGGGGGGAGGTGAGAGCGAACACGGAAAATGGCTGAGGGTTTTCCATTGGTAAGGCTGCATAGACAATGTTAGAGAATGACCAACACAGTACTGGGAGGGAAGGGGCGAGCAAGACCACGTACACTCCTAATGGGATATACTCCTTGCCAGGCCACGCAAAGTGTACAGATGCTCCGTAGCCTTCTGGGAAGGGAACTGTTTCGACAGTGAGCAAATATATCCATAATTCGAGAGAACATCGCTCACCGGTACCTAGTAAAAAGACCGTAAGATGATTGATATCATACGGCTGCTCCAAGGGAAAGACGAAATGAGTTTCGTCGCTGTGGTCAAGTCAGTGATTAGTCTCAAATACAGAATAAGATTGATTTGGATAGCTTACATCTGTTGAAGGTTGGTCTGGCTATGATAAGGCATCAGCTCTGCGACATCACGCTTCAAATCGGACATACACGAGACGACCGGCAACGATGGCGCCAAACATTGTTTGTGAATGTTTCAGGGTATCCTATGGTTTGATAGTAGGGGAGGAGTGGGAGTACGTCAGGTGGTTTACTGGTTGGACGAGTGAATGGGATATCTGAATGTAGTGAATGCACAAAAGAAGAGCGTCGAATGCTCCAGAAATCAATGTTCGTGTCGGCAAGTCGCGTTTGATTTTCAAGTGCGTGCCTGGCACATCTACGCTGTCCATCTTTCGCATGTTGCAGGTCTCCGGTCCGCGAGGGCCAAATGGCATGAAAAGTGTGACGTGCAGAGGTGAGGGACACAACACATTCATTACAGACAGGCACCCTATGTAATAGCAGAATTGAGGTATATCCACGTCCGGGTATATCTATCGTCCATCTTCAAGACACTTTCGTCACGAGTCGTTAAGTATTCACGGTCAGGCTCCTCTAGCGGCACCACTACAGCACACCCCTTCTTCCAATCTACAGGTTCTCACTTCAAAGGCGACGTTTCCGGGTCGAGTTGTGCTAACAGGTGTTTCAATTGGACGAGATCTTCGATTCTTGGAGTATGTGTTCGGGCAGGTGCTTTGGCGTCGTCCATCGCGAGCCAGCTATCACAGACTGTGAGTACGTGTTCTGGTGAGGCTGGGGGTCAAACTTACTGGTCCAATTGGGACTTCAAAGCCTTGGTCTTTAATCTGAAATGCGAATACATAGCTTGATCATCTGCACGAGCGTGAGTTGATGCCTCTCTTTGATCATGTAAACTCACGAGAGAATGAACCACCGTTGCCCGTCTCCTCTTGCATCTTATCCATCTGCTCCACCAAAAAGTCCTTTTCATCTTGCTCATCCACCAACTGCTGTTTCAGGCTCTCCACCTCCTGCTCGAGCGTCCTCATCCTCCTCGCCGCGGCCGGGTCTTCTTGTGCCGGGGTGCCGTTGCCATTGATGACGCTGGCGCGCTTACTAGGCGTCAGAGGGGTAGCATCAGTCAGCTTTCGCAGCTGATCCGACATGTCCTTTCCAAGAGCGTCGTGACTGAGTTGGAGGCCCCGTAACAAGTCTTCTCGGCGAAGGTTGCTAGCGTTGGGCACAGCCGACTTGGCAAAGAGTTTTTGAAGCTCGGAAAGCTCGCCCTTGAGCTTGTCGTTCTCTGCCGACACATTCGTGTGCAAGTCTTCAAGGTTCAAGAACTCGTTCTCCAGGCGAGAGAATTTGGACTCGAGAGAGCTGTGTTTGCCAGCAGTGAGAGAGGCAGCAGACAGCTGCTTCTTTTGCTCCTGCAAGTCCTTCTCCATCGCCGCAATCCTCGACTCGAGCACCCGCCTCGTCTTGCGCTCATCTTCGAGAGCCGCGACAGCACCCTTATCCTCGGGTCCGAGCGATGCCCTCGCCGCCCTAGCTTCTTTGCTCTTGCTAGCCTTCAGCTGGTCATATTGACGGGCGAGGTCTTCCAAATCGGCGTTGAGCCTATTTCGGTGCGTCTCGAGCGACTTGAGAAGCTTGTTGAGACGAGAATTCTCGCTAATCTGCTCGGCGAGCTGTTGGTCCGTAAACTTTTTGGCAGCTTCCATGACATGGTAGTGCTCGACCACAGTCTTGTTCTCGCGGCTTCGCAAATACTCTATCTCCTTGTCGCGGGCCTTGATATCCGAAGCGGCTTTGGCAAGCTCGCGTTCGGCCTGCTGGGCGACGTTGCGGTTCTCGGAAAGCTCGACTTGCTGGTCATAGAGCTCTTGCTCAAAGTGCTGACGCTGATTGGTCTCTTCTTGTAATTGAGAGGCGAGTTTCTCAATGGACTTGGACCAGTTGGCCTTGTCGGCTTCGATCTCGAGCACAGCATCTTCAAGACCGTTATATTCGTCTTGCAAAGATTGGAGTCGGCTCTCAAGATCCTACAGAGACGTCAGCTATGGTTTTTGGTAGGTTTTTGACTCACGTCTCTAGCTTGGACTGTCCCCTGCAGCCTCTTCTCGGTATCCTTGAGTTGCTCTTGCACCCTAGCAAGCTCATCCCCAGCCCTCCTTCGCTCGCTCTCAGCCTGCGCCATCTTGGCCTTTGCACCGACAACCTCCTTCTCCTTCTCTTCCAACTCCTTGACCTTGACTTTGAGCTCCCGCTGGACGCTGGTATGACTCTGCTTCAAGCCTTCCACATCGACGCGAAGCTTGTTGGCAAGTTGCAAAGCAGTTTCGCGCTGATCGTCGAGGGTCTTTTGGAGTTGTGCGGCCTGTTCACGGAGTCGAGACATTTCTTGGTCGCGAGACTTGTCGACCTCTCTACGTTGTTCGTCCTCGCTCGTCTTGGCAGCCATAAGACTTCTCAAGCCATCGAGTTCTTGCTCGACCTTGCCCCTTGCGGACGCCTCTTTGGCCTTTTCCTTTTCACGGGCAGCGAGTTCGGAGGTGAGACTGTCAATTTGGACGGCAAGCTCAGTCTTGACCTTGTCGGCAGCTTCCTGGGCTTTAGCAGAGGCTGTCTTGTGAGACTCGAGAGTGGAGATGTCTCGGGTTTTGGAGGCGATGGTCGATTCGTGCGTCTTGATAGTCTGTTGGAGTTCGGCCAGCTGAGATTTGGCCTTGCGCAAGTCGTCCGTCAATGCTGAGACTTGATCGTTGCCGGATTGACTACAATCTGTCAGCTGTGTCCAAGCGATAAAGCCGACAGAACTCACGCCTTGGTCTTTTCATACGCCAACCTCTTCTCCATCTCCACCCCACTAGCTTCAAACCTCTCCTTCAACCTCTTCATCCCATCCTCCTTCGTCCCCACCTCCCTCTTCAGCTCTTCCACCTTGGCCTCCAACGCTTTCCTCTCCTTCTCCACTTGCGCGAGCGACCCAGACCTCTCCTTTGAGTCTTTCAACAAGTCTGCCTCGCGTTTCTGCCAGTCAGAGCCTTGCTTTTCCAGCATCGCCGCCTGTTCCGCCAGGGCCTCAAAGTTGCCTTGCACGAGGGAGAGCTTTTCCTTGACTTTGTCCGCTGCTGTGACTGCTCTCTCGCGCTCTTGATCCAGGAGCTCGATATCATTTTCCAGCTCCTCAATCTTTTCGAGCAACTCTGCTTCCCGGCCTTTCGATCTCGCAAGCATCGTATCCTTCTCTCTCGCCAGCTCGCGCTCAGCCTCAAGGTCCCTCTCCACCTTTTCCTTCTCCCCCACGAGCCCAGCTCTGAGGTCTTCCAACATCTTCCGCTCAGCTTCATCCCTCTCGGCTCGCTCTTTAGCCAACAAAAGCTCGGCGCGCTTCTTGCCGAGCTCGTCGTCGACGCGGGTAGCAGCCAGCAAAGGACGGACCTTGACATACAGACCCCACCATGGCCAGTCCCGGAGCTCTAGGTACGCCCGCGCATTACGCTGGATCGTACGTACAGCCTGGGCGCGGTTGATCAATTTCAAGATCCTCCGCCTGGCGATATGCATCCGGGCAGCAGACTGCAGACGCTGGAAAATGTCGTGCAAACAGTTATCGCGGCGTTCTTCCAGTTCGGCGAGGACACCGGCTCTAAAAAAGATCTTGGTAGCTCCGATCTTGTAAAAGTCTTTATCGAGCTCGAGAGACTCGGCAATACGTTCGGCGGCTTTACGTCCGTCGATATAGCCGGCAGGGATAACACCAGGCGTGAGCACCTCGTACCTCTGCCTAAACTCGGCAAACGAATGCCGATTAGGGTAACCCAACCTCGCAATTCGGATTCCTTCCAAAACACCATTACACCTCAGCTGATCCAGCACGAGATTAACGTCCACCTTGCCCGGCGTCTTTTGAGGGTTCGGCACGATACAACGGACGAAATGCGGTTGCGTCGAGTTGAGCTGCTGCATGAGCTGGCCGAGCTGTTCTTTGTGGCGTTGACCGACTGTTCGGAACGCACCCCGCCTGACCTTTTTGACCATACCGGCAGAAGCAGAGGTGTCTTCGGCATATTCAGCAAAGAGGGTGGCGATGGAAGGATTGTCGGAAGCAGACAACAGCCGGGCGACGGCATCGTTGATCGGGTCTTTATTCTTTTCGAGCCAGCCGGACGTGTGGTACTCGACGTCTCCAGCATAATGCTTGACGACAAAGCCTGCACCAAAGCGGGTGGCCTTGAATTTGGCACACCCGAGATGTCGATTCTCCGACTTGCCGCCTCGGGGAATCTCCCACTGTGCTTGCACTTTTTCGGTAAATGTGAGGTCGGTGGCTTTGGGCATGATACACTCTTCGTCGAGGAGGGAGAGGATACCGACGGGTTGGGAAGACTCGATGAGCTCGATAGTGGGTTGAAGGTCGAGACCAAAGTTGACATAGTCCCATTGAATACCTTCTCGGGCATACTCTTCTTGCTCGAGAGTAAACATGTGAAAGTTGAAGAACTACACAAGTCAGCTTTGCCTCCTGTCATGATAATACTCACCTGCTGGAGCTTTTCGTTGGTAAAGTTGATAAGCAGCTGCTCATAGCTATTCTCCTCAAAGATCTCAAAACCAGCAATATCCAGAACTCCTATACTGAGCACCTTCTGACTCGGTCTATCGAGCGCCTGGTTTATCCTATCCACCATCCACCCAAACGTCTTTTCGTACATAAACTTGCACAACGCTCCCAGCTCATCCTCTGCCTGCTTCTTTGTCCTCGCATTCGTCACCCACTCTCGACCAGCGCGGACTTTGGGGTTGAGCACCGATTTTGTAAACTCTTTTACAGGGATACCGAGCAAGTGACATATCTTGTCGGCGACAGACTGCATGTCGGGCGGTAAGAATGCTTGGTCGGAGGAAGAGCCGGTGAGGATGAGATTGCCGATGTGAAGGATGACGGCGGGGATGCGGAAGAGCTCGAATTGCTCTGCTTCGGTGAAGCCCATGACTTTCAAGGCGTCTTTGAGCAATCGCCATTCGGCGAGATCGTTGACGCCGTCAACCTCGAGTTTCGTCTTTTTCAAAAAGTCGAATTTGTCGGCACCACCTTCCAGCAGCAGACGATCTGGATACTGTCAGCACACCCCGTAGAGCTCTGGGCAGACTCACCAGCAAGCTTGGCTTCCTTTGCGCCCGCCAAGAGTTGATAAAAGACGTGGAAATTCCTCTCTCCCGTAGCCCTCGCTGTCACCCTACTCTTCTCCAACAGATACCAGTCGATATTTGCCCCGGCAATAGCCCCAGCAGGCGAAAAGAAGATCCTGATAAACTTTCCAAATCGACTGGAATTGTTGTTGCGCATAGTCTGGGCGTTACCGAACGCTTCGAGTATCGGGTTGGCTTGCAGGATTTGCTGTTCGAGTAGGCCGAGGGACGGGTCGGAGAGGTCCATCTCATCTCGGCCTTTGAAGCTGGACGAGCGCGGGAGGCCTGATGATGGGGCTTGCGAGAGGGAAGAGGATGAAGAGGACGAGGGGAGGGAGGATGTGGCGATAGAAGCGAGGTATTGGATGACCTTTTTGGTGTTTTCAGTCTTACCGGCGCCGGATTCACCACTAAACACAGTCAGACCTGGCCACAAAACACTGAACGACGTACGTGATGAGGATACTCTGACTCTCTCGCTCCTCTCCAATCTGCTGCCAAGCTCGCTCCGCAACCGCAAAGATATGCGGAGGGTTCTCTTCTCTCCGTCTCGAGCGATACTGCGCAACGATCTTGGACGTGTAAATGGGCAGTGTTCGATATGGATTCAGCGATATCAGGAACAGACCTGAGTACGTCTATACTGCATCAGCTCGACTCTTCTTTACCTGCCACACTCACATAGATACCACCAGCAGTATACCTCGTCCTGAGGTTGTTGATCACACTGGCTTCATTCAGATGTGTCAAGTCGGCGATATCCTCTACGCCATCAAACTGGGGTGGGTTCATCGGGCTGAGTGTCCAGAGCGGTACTCTCTTCATCTCGCCTGTCGTGGCTACCTGCACCTCCGCACTGGCCTCGGGGTCCGACTCGTCCCCTTCCTGGGAGCGGATCCAGCATGGGAGAAAACCAGCCGCATCGTCGGGCAGCCACATGCGCCTGATGGTGTCGGAGGGAGGGGCATCGTATTTGTAGGAGGAGGGGATGTATTGGGTGCGGCGTGAGTAGGAGACGAGGCGGTCCATGGTGTGGAAGAGGTGGAATGGTAAGTAGATGTCAACGAACGATCCAAACAATCCACCCACCTCTTGTCGTTGAACTCGGCCTGCGCCGCTGTCATCGCCGCACCATCCTTCTTCTCGCGCGATGTCCGGAACAGGCTGCTGGGGTCCATGCTGCTGTCCGGGCGATGGCGGACACGGGGATCAGGGGGCGGTGTCCGGGTGTGTTCCGTGTCCTGCAACACGCGTGGAGGGGCGAAAGGGGCTGGGTGTGTGCCAAAGGAGGGCGATGATGCGCGCAAGAGACGGGTCTGTGCGTGGTGGTACGGCCGTTTAAGGAGCGTCGGGGGTCACTGTCGAGTGATCTGTCGTGCGGTAGTGGTGGGCGAATATACACAGGTGATTATAGGTATAGGTCGTGGGGCAAGCAAGGTAAGAGGTGAGAGGGCATGAGAATGCTTGGATTTGTTGTTGTTTGTTTGGCTGCGTGCTCTGACGCGTCGAGCATTTGATCCCGCTTTTTCCCGCGTGGCAGGTTGAGGGATGACGTTGCCATGCCAAGTACAGTGACTGTTGTACATGCCATGGCCAGGTCGTGCGCCCCTGCAGAGGATGGCGATGATCATAGCACGACAAAATGGTATAAGGCCATCTACCATTCATCGCTTACGGTGATCGCATGCGTACTGTAGAGATGACGGGGAAATGCATGTAGATTGGTATGTAATCCAAGCGGGTCAAGGAGTACTAGATCAAAGCAGATATATTGATTGTCCGAGAGAATTATATCACAACGATAGGATAGCCGCAAAAACAGCTGATAAGATAGAAGAGAAAAGGAGAGATTACGTCAAACGATCTTACGCTAAGTCTGCTTGGCAATAGTAGCCCTCACAGCCCTATGATCGCTCCACCGCGCATCAAACCCATCCCTATCCCCCTCCACATAATTATCCACCACCCCATACCTCACCACCTCCCACCCACCCCTCCCCTCCCCACTCCCACTCTGCGCCCCATCAAGCTCCGCACCGACGAGCACAAAGTCGATGCGTTTGGTCATGTTGTAGCCTGGGGCTTCGAACCCTGTGTAAGTGTGTTCGGGGCCATAGGGACGGGTTTGGGGAGTACCGTAGGTGCTGGAGGAGGAAGAGTTGGAGGTGAGGAGGTGGGTGTAGGTGTCGAGGAAGGTGTAGGAGGCGTTACCGTTGGGGAGGGGGTCGGTGGAAACCATGTTTTTGTAACCGTCTTCCTCTGGTGGAGAGTCTACGCCATATCAGTTCCTGGCTCCATCAAAAACATACGTGAGGACTAACTAAAGTCGCCAAAGAAGACCACAGGCGCATCCCCACGAGCTCCCTCAGACTGCTCAACGTCTTGCACCCATTGATAGATTGTCGCCCGGAGCAACAAGCTGCTTTGGGCGCGAGCTTCGGTGCCAGCATTGTCGTAATGGGTGTTGAAAGCGTGTACGAGCTGGCCTTCTTGAGCGCCGGCTTTGTATTTGAGCGTGAGGAGGGTTGCGATACGAGTCAAGTCCTACAAGACGTCAGTTTCGACTCCAGTCAAAGCCCCAGAAGCTCGGGAAGCTACTCACTGCATCCCAGCCGATAGATCCAGGGGTGTCCGGAGTTTCCGACAACCAAGTAGTGTTCCACCTGACAATGTCAAACTTGGAAGAATCATAAAAGATCGGACTATACTCTCCAGCTTCTTGCCCATCATCCCGCCCAACACCAACATGAGCAAAAGTATCGCCCACAAGCCCGTCGAGGTCGTTCAATTGGTTGTTGAGCACTTCCTTCAGAACGTGTCAGTGCCAAGATGATGAGGAAGAGAGGAAGAAAGGAGGAGAAATCAAGGCTTACCTGGGCTCCCCAGATGTCGAGCGGCCCGGTGGATAAGAGTGCATCTACAAGACGCGTCTTGCGGTCGTCCCAGCCCTTCTCGGACCACGGACTGTCCGGGTCGGCATTCGGATCAGCGATATTGCTATTCTTTCTACCACTCTATCAGCACAAGCCCCTTTGTCAGTATGTAGATGGAGACTTACATGTTGACAGTTGCGATATGGAGTTCTGAAACATCGCTTGGAGGAGTATTTCTTGTAACGAGCGTAAGGGGTCGGGCGGTAGTCTGTGTAGAGACCAGAGAGAGGAGGGTGATTATAATACAAGAAGGTGCGGTATGAAGGAACATGTCGAAACTACTTTGTCGAGGGACGTCATGGCTGCTGCGATCAGCTATTCATACTTTTTATTCATCGTTCACGGGTCAGGCTAGCATCGGCCAAAAGGCATGACGTGAAACGCCCAAAACTCGGCGATGCGGAGAGCCTGGAGACGGGAGACAAAGGTGGCAAGTAGTTGCGTGTGTCATACAAGGACGCGGACCTCGCCGAGCTTATGCTCACGTCAGCCTGCTCAACATCCGACGGAGAAACGACTTTAGTAGTAGGACCAGGCCCGGCCGTACACACATACGTACATAGATGGACCTGCTCTCAATTGGTGACTGTCGCTTGATGGATGTAGAACATGCTGTTGACTACTCTTCATTCACGTATCGCGCATACCTCTCCGAATGTACTTGTACCTCTTCTCTTCTACTCGTACCCAACACTGGCGCGGCGCCTCTTGCGCTTGCTGACTATCCTAAACTTTATACTCCTGTTTCTTGAGCCGCTTATCTCTCATAAGACACACATCCACCCAGACCCGGTAACTTGCTTGGTCTGATACAACTCATATGTACAACAGAAGGTCGGCCACACCCAACTAGGATTTGATCCTGCTGTGTGCACTGCGTCCCTCCACAACCCGCTCACACCGCCTCCCTTTGCCTTCTCCCCCCACTCTCTCACCTTCTCTCATTCTCCGCCCCCCCACCTCTCGCTCCCACCGCCGGCTTCCCGTCATCGCGGCCCTTCGTTCTATCTACGCGTACAGTACGATGCACGCCAGAAGAGGAGAAATGAGTCATATCGGGAACGTTCGTTGCCATGGCCTGCCAACTCACAGCCACCCCAGCTTCTCACCACTCCACTGTTGTGATCTGGCTCGACACAAGCCCTTCCCACCGCTGTTGTGATATGTCTGGGAAGAAAGGATTGCGGAGATGACCGCCGGACGTCCAGGCTGGCGGCTTGGACCGCGGCTGGAGGCCTGGAGCGCTTCTTCTTCCTTATCTATGAAACCTATCAATCTTTTCAACAGATTATGAGACCTTGAGAAGCTGGAAATCGACCGAACACTCCGTCCTTCCACTTCTTGCTGTTACCTCGACAAGGTTTTTTCAACACACGACAACCGACCTGTGAAATTTTTCTATGTCGGACCCCTCTCCCCTCCCTTCCACCTGGGACGCCTGCGATTCGTGGGCCACCCGTCTGGAGAATGCTGTATCTTCGGTGCCCCCTCTCACCGGGGCCTCGAATTATCACCCTTGGGCCAAAAAGCTCCAGATTGTCTTGTCTGGGGTCCGTGGGTGTCTCTGTCTGCTGGACGAGCCCCCTGATGCCTCCGCTACTCCCTCCTCCACATCTCCTCCTGCAGCGATCTTAAACCACCTTGACGCTACTCTTGCGCTCGTTCTCGTGGGTTTACTCAGCCCCGCTCTCGTCTCTCAATTCGAGTCCGTCATCCTCGACCACCCTTCTCGAGCCGCCCGTACCCTCTGGCTCAAGCTGGAGGCCGCTTACGGCACTCGCTGGTCCTTCCACCTGTGGCAGTCTGTCCAGGCTCTCTCCTCCCAGCCCCAGGGCTCTACTCCGGTGACGGAGTTCATGACGTCCCGCAAGCAGAAGTTCGAGGCGCTCAAGGCTGCCGGGTACGACTTCGATCGGTGGTTCCTGGATAATCTCGTCGCCGATCTTGCTCCTCATTTCGGTCCCACTGTTCGCGGTCTCGACTTTGCTACCTTGACCTTTGACTCTCTGTACGCTGCTGTTCGGGGGGTCGATGACAGTCACCGTCTCCATGCCGCGCCGCCCTCCTCTTCTATGACCCTTGCGGCCTTTGGCACTCCGGTCAACCCTCGTGTCCCTTCCTCCGCCATCTCCGCGTCCACAAGTTCTATACAGCGCCACAGTTTTCATTCCTCGCCTCTTCCCCGTACACCCTCAGTACCTCCCCACACGTCCCGACCAGGGACCCCTCCACTGCCTCCATCACCCGTCACCCTCGTCGTCAACGAGGTGACGATCCACCGCTCTACCAAACATCGCTCAAGGATCTACTTGCTATACCACTACACCCACCCCGAGAAGAAGCATAGTACCACGTCTCGGTGGGATTCATTTCCTGCATTCCTCATTCCCGCCATCCGTGGATTCTGGGCTTCTACCCCCGCTCCTCCCCTCCTTTACTACAAGGAACGGGCCCTCGCATTGCTGCCGCCCACGGAGGCTTAGCACTCTCTCCCCTCCACACCACGTCGTCATCCCTGTTCGGGCCTCCTCGTGCGTAGCTATCACATCGTCGTCGTTCCTGCGGCCTCCTTGTGTGACGTCCCTGTTTCTTTTGTCTTACCCAGCGCCTCGTCGTCCCTCCGGGTTCTCCTCGTGCCCCGTTTTGATTTTCTCCATTCTCGTTTCTCCATACTCCATAAGCCAATAGACCCTTTCTTTGCCTTTGCCCCTAGTTTTCTCTTGTTTCTCGCTTACCGCTCTGAATGCATATAAGACAGAGGTTTGGGTGAATCCCCTTCTTCATCTTTCCTTCCCCTACTCTTACCTACGTCGAGCTTGCCTCTGCTTGATCCTACACATATCTTATCTCAGACTTCCCGAACTGATTGCAAGCCTACAACAATTAAGCGCACTGGAAATATCGTATCGGTCGACATTTATCTATCGCGCCCCTCTGGGACTTTTTGGGACAGTCTAACCTACTACATCCCGGGATTCTTCTTCCTTATCTATGAAACCTATAAACCTTTTTAACATCCACTGCCGTCAGCAGCACTTCTATCACCACCCCACCCTGCGCCAATTGAGCTGCTCCCCCGCCGCTGGGTTCTCAAGCGCGTCATTCTAGCATTATATTTCCCACAATTGCTGATCTTCTCATAGAACGCAGGGTCACTGAGAGTACATAGACACAGACGTATGAGGGACAAGGGAAGAGTTGACGGGTCGTCTGGAGGGGAACACGGTAGGTCTTCTTCCCTGCTTCTCGAAAAGTCACACCGGGGAAGGTTTGTATGAGATGTTGGCTTACTTGTACGAGATACACAGGACAAGGAGCTCCTTTCGGTATTCTCTTCCATCATCCTCGACAGGATTACGCCAAACGCCATGCCCCACTGGGCCGACCTCGACCAACGAGCGCACCTCGCTCATCTCCTCCCCGCCGGCGCCGCCACCTCTCCAAGGTGAGATGGAGTTTTCGTGGACGGCCGGGGTTGAACCCCACAGCAACCGTCACGTCCTACGGGTGCACTCCGAGCACTTTCCTCAATGGATCCTCGACCAGTTGGTCTATGGAGCTAAGAGGACGCGACGAGGATATGGCCATGTAGGTTCTCTCGCGCAAGACACCGTTCTGAGTGTGTAGAAGGAGGCTAGGACTTCTAGTACTGTTGCTGTAGCCCTACTCTTTGTTCCCTTCTATGTGACCGCAGAGCGCCATTGTGGACGATGTGAAAGGGCTGAGGTGACACGATGAAGAGATGAACCGACATGCAGATGCTTCGATGTTGTCAAGATCGCTTCTCCATCGAGTTTTGGGACTCGGCGCATTTCAGATGCCTACTTTTAGCAGCACTCCCACATACACAAGATCCCATGATGCCTCCGTAATGTTCTGCTGCTGCTTCACTCTGCTACAAACTCGCAACCTGCACCAAGTGTCTGTGAAGCCATGCATCCGTCTATCCTACACCCCTCACCCCTATCCTGCACGATTACTCGTCGGGAACGACGAGCTCACCCTCCTGGATAGCGACGATGAGGTCGTGGGGGTTCTTGCCGTCAACGGTGCAACCAACAGACTGGGCAGTACCGAGGATCTCACGGACACCACCAGAGAGGTCCTTGGCGAAGGACTTGTGGAGCATCTTTCGGGCAATCTACCAAACAGTCAGCATCACACCAAAGCAATGCGGAGAAGAGGGAGGCTTACGTCGTAGATCTGGTCAAGGGGAACGTTACCGGAGTGCTTGATGTTCTTCTCCTTCTTCCTGTCCCTTGGGGGCTCCTTGAGGGCCTTGATGACAAGAGAAGAGGCGGAGGGGACAACAGAGACGGCGGCTTGCCTGTTCTGGATAGTGAGCTGGACGGTCACTCGGAGACCCTTCCAGTCGCCAGTAGCCTTGGCAATGTCTTCTCCGACCTTCTTGGGGGACTGAAAAAAATTGTCAGCATTTGACCTAGTGATGCTCGCTTTGACGTGTCTGCGACTCCTGCTTTTTTCCTGATCTCTATGGGCGCTTTGCCCCCAGACTCCACGCTTTGTAGGTAGCCCCTCCGTGAGACGGGACGAAATCCGCTTCCTCTTGCTTCAACGCTGTGCCATCTCTGAGACTCGTCTCCCATTCCTATCCCCCATCCTGATCGCAGACACGCCTCTCCACTATTTGATGTCGACTTACAAGACCGAGGGGACCAATCTTGGGAGCCAAAGCAGAAGAGGCACCGACCTCACCACCGGTGGCACGGAGGTAGATGATCTATTGGGCGGAGTGATCGTATTGGCGTAGTGATAGCAGGTGGATTGGGAGGGACGACAAATATTTGTGGTAGGGGCGGTGGTGAAGGTTGAGAGTAAATTTGATGTGATTGAAGTGAACGCAACGATAGAACTCCAGATCAGCTTCCTATCCCTTCAATCTTCATCCTGTGAATATGACGCACCTTAACCTCACTGCAGAAGGCGAACAATAGTTGATTTATCGATTATAGTTAAGGAGTGGACGTTTCGACAAGGGGAAAAAACGAGGGGGTAGAGGGGAGCGAGGAGACTATCGTCAGTACTGTTTCGCACGGCAACGGAGGCAATTTACGAAGGGTCGAATTTGGGAGGCATTGTTCAGGATGATTTTAGGGGGTTTTTGAGGCGTAAAGAGAAGAAATGTAAGAGGATATAGGTTAAACACACCACCACAATTTGGGTGCGGAGATCACCGCCGCACACGGCGTTTCGTGTGTGAATTCTCCGCGGCGGAGGCACAGCGTGTGGCACTTCCTCGGCGGCCGGGCACGAAGTATGATGCATGGAAGGGTGTAAGACGCCTGTGTTGAGGTATGCTATAATGGAGACTACCCAGTATCTCAAACTTCCAGCATGTCTACACACCAATCTGCGCGCACATATGATACATCATCAGATGAAGGCATCTCTTCTCAGTAAAGGGCAGCGCAACCAAGGGTGACGTCAGCTTGATCAAGCAAGAGCAGGGTTGGTGTTGGTCCTCAGATCTACAACAGTTCATACAGGTAAGACAACTATACAAAGAGCACCCCACTGGTCCTGGTCCTTATGCGCTTTTCGCTGCATAATCTGGTCGCTGCATATTCCAGATCATTGCTCCCCCAAACGTCACTATCCAAACACCAGCTCATAACTCGACCCATCGTTATCTTAGCCAAATCTCAGACTGACTGAACGCAAGAGCCCTCAATGCTATTCCAAACCTCCTATACAGAGCTTTCCTCGGATCTCTTGACACATGATGGCGCTCTCTCCGAGGGTATCTCACTTTGTGGAATACGACATCTACCGTTCCGTCACCATGTCCCGAGACCTGTTACAAGGTCTCGGGTGTTGGAGTAGGGGCTTCGTAAATCGTCGAGGACTGTAATAAGGGAGTCAGCAGTTGCTAAGCGAACGGTAGAAGAGTTGACTGACGCTGGGAGCTGTCGTTCTCACCGTCACTACCGCGCGGTGTCGGCTACCCCCCTCCTCGCAGCTACTCCAGCGTCCATCCAAGGCTACGCCCAGCTCACGAAGATTGCCCAACGCAAAGCCATCCCCATACAAAGTCCACGTATCGGGAAGAGTGCGCGAGGGCGAGCGCCGCCCATATATGGTTCAGGCCATGGAGTGGTCCGAGTTTGTCCAGGTCGGGTAGTACGGCTGAGTGAGAGAGGCAAGAGAAGGACATACCGAAGAGAGCGTGCGAGTTCTCTCCTAGATCGATCGACGGGCTCCCCGTCCGCATGGACAAAGAGACCAGTACCCTCCAGCGACCCGGATATGACGACGGAAACGTTATCAGGTATGTGTGAAAAGACATGAGCCCCATTGTCGGTGACGGTGAGGACTTGAGCGCGGTGAGGAATGTCTCGAGCTCGGGACTGTGTCGGGGAGATCTTGAGAATCGGAATATGAGAGGGACTGGAGGGATGCCTGAGGGTGGGGTGTTGGAAGCGCTCTTATCGAGTCATGGGTGGATGAATGAGAGGGATGGAAAAGACGAAAAGAGATGACGGTACTTATTTACGAGCGTGCAGTGCGCATCGCAAGCTGGGTCGGAGGGAGCCGATCAACGCTATCAGTCAACGCGACTTCTGTGCTCCATTCCTCCATGCCTTCTTGCCTTTTTTCCTTTGCAGATCCATGAAAGAGTGTGCTTGAAGGGGTGGCGTGAGAAGCAAAGAATGCGAGAAAACAGAATAACGCGCCCGGTGACGTTCTATCGACAGGAGTCCCGGTGGCCCGGAGAGGCTGGTTGACCCAGGGGACGTCGCAATTAGCCATCCGCGGCAGTGCTCAGGGTGGCATGGTGATACACGCTGTGTCTGCTCATAATAGCCTGTGGGAAGAATAGGTGATATAAACTGCCATCGGAACAAGAGATATATATAACACACGTCATCCAGGTTTTGACGGAGTTGGTCTTTAGTAGCTCCTGAATAAGCTATACATGTGAGACTACTATCATACAAAAAAAAAGCAATCTATTGGTCCTGATACTTATGTGCCTTCCGCTGCATAATCCAGATCATAGCCCCCCAGAACGTCACTATCCAACATCAGCTCATGACTCAACCCATCAATATCTCAAGCGGGAAACAAACTCACTGAACGCGATAGCCCCCAGCGCTATTCCGATCCGTCGACAAAGCTTTCCTCGAATCTCTTTTCGCCGTAGACGTCGCTCTTCGAGCTCCTCGGCGCTTTCCTGACTCTAATGTTCCGTCAGACAAATCATCAGCTATCGCACCTTTCCCTCGAACAAAGTAGAGTACTGTACGAGTACTGACCTTGAGAAGCTTGCCGGGCAAAGCGTAGGTGACTCTGGCAAAAACAGACTGCCCCGTACAGTCCGTATCATACTCCCCGTAAAACCTCACCTCCACACTCTCTCCCAACTGCCTCATCACTCCCTCTTTTAGCCAACTCCAAGGAACCGGCTCTTCCGCTCGCTTGCCTTTCCTCAGTGTATACTGGGCCACAATTGCCCGGCGGTGGATATGGACAGTGCGGGCGTTGGGCATGATGCTGAAGAAGGATTTGAACATGTAGGAACGTTGAGGGGAGTGGAGATTGGCCAGGTCCCACAGTGCGTCCATAGAGTCGATATACAACTCGTGAACGCACTCCAAGCAGTCCAGCTTTCGCTGTCTACTCTTCCTGTCACCATCAAGACCCTTTAACAGGTCTCGGGACATGGTGACGGAACGGTACACGTCATACTTGACGAAGTGAAAGACTGTTGGGGAAAGCGCCATGGTCCTACTGGGCCCGAGGTACTCCTCCTGTAGAAGAAGAAGCAGCACCAAGTGATGTACCGGAGCCAACGGCTCCAGTGTCGTAAGCCCCGGCTGCGCTCTCAGCGGAGGAAGTCGAGACACAGCAGTAGCCCTGGAATGCGAGGGGTACGGGTATTCCACAACGTAGACTGGCTCAGATGAAGGCACATCTGGAAGTGTACTGCCATGCTGCAGCCGTACCATCTCGAAGACTTCCGGATTCTCATCGGGGTAAACGAGATGATGAACGGTACCGCCGGAATGGTTGCCGTCTTGGTAATAGAGAGGGAGGATAGACATGCTTGATGACTGGATGATGGTCCTTGATGTTGGTGGCGAGATTGTTGTTGATGTGTGATTCCGGTAAGCAAAAGTGGCGAGAAGGAAGAGAAGAGAAAGAAGAACGTTGATAGAGATTCATGCTGATTTTTATGTCCTCCGTATACATTGAATCTGTTCCCAAATTTTGTGGTGGAAAGATAAAAAAAAGGGGGGACAGATGTGAGGGAAAGCTAGGACGGCGAGCGGGGGGGGGTCTGGTGGAAAGAAGAAGTCGGCCAACGCGACGTGCGTGCGCGCGCTCTTTGCGGAAAGACCTGGTATTCGGTCATCAGAGGTTCGTATTGGTGCTTTGTTTCCACTCATACTTGGAGGCCTGGAACCCTCCATCAAGCCCAGCCTGGGTCCAAGACACAAGCTATGCAAGCGCTATACAAATCATGCAAGTAGTCGGCAGCCACAAATATCGATGGGGCTCGAGTGACGTACACTCCCATGTTGATCATGGTCTTCAGCCTCACAGCAGCATCCATAATGAAACGACTCTAGTAGGTCTCTAGAGGGCGGAAGCTTCTTATGCAGCATCCATACGCTACACCGAATACAAAACCCCCAGCTATGATGATCGATTAATGTCACTCTCGCCGAACGCGACCTATGATCGGACTCACGGAATGCAAACCACATAATCCCACCCTTCTGATAGCATACTGGAAGAATAGACAGTACAAGATCCATAAAGAAAAAAAGATATGCATCACATCGGTTAAGGCAACATTTCTCCTGTTCTACGATACAACTCTTGGACGCACTCCAAGCAGTCCAGCTTTCGCTGCCTACTCTTCCTGTCACCATCAAGACCCTTTAACAGGTCTCGGGACATGGTGACGGAACGGTACACGTCATACTTGACGAAGTGAAAGACGTTTGGGGAAAGCGCCATGGTCCTACTGGGCCCGAGGTACTCCTCCTGTAGAAAAAGAAGCAGCACCAAGTGATGTACCGGGGCCAACGGCTCCAGTGTCGTAAGCCCCGGCTGCGCTCTCAGCGGAGGAAGTCGAGACACAGCAGTAGCCCTGGAATGCGAGCGGTACGGGTATTCCACAACGTAGGCTGGCTCCCAGTGGCTACATCGAAAACGGGGATTGGGCGGTGGGATCGGGCAGCAGGCGGGCGGGGCAGCATCATCGTAAGGTGAGAACTGTAGCAAAGAAGAACGTCAGTACTGCTGCTGAGGTCTCAAATGGAAGGCAAGTTGACTGACGTGATAGGATCTTTCCCGTCCCACTCCCCTCATACTGCTCGCCCTTCTTCCCCAAGCTGCCCGGGCGACCCTTCGAGGCTCCTCGCAGGTCATCAAACCTCCTCGACATCATCCGATCCCGTTACAGTGCTACACCCCAGATGCCCCACTTTACACGTCAAATATCTAGCCATCTCCAAAAATCACCTTGGGGTCCGTCCTGAGCACTAAACGTCGTATCCATTTGTGCGGCGGTGTTGGCCTTGGCGCTATGAATGCGTAGCCGTCCTCTGGCAAACGATGTCTTCATAGACAGCCTTCACAGCTACGCCGTACCCGGCCATGGTGTCTGGAATGATGTATGGCAAAGGAGATCGAGGAGGAGGCTTGTCGACGGCAAAGAGACGGTGGAGAGGTAAGAAGCCGATCACAAGGTCGGTCAGAGTAGCTCGAAGAGTAGCGTTGGAGCCAGAGGGTACGGGTGCAGACGCGGGTCGTTCAGAATTGTTGAGGGGTACACTGGTGGTGAGGGGTCTGTCCCCTTCCTGGTCAGTGATCACGCAAGTAATCTTTTTGGTTTCGCAACGTTGGCAGGGTGGACCGCCTTTACACTGTTCGAGGTGCGTGAGCCGAAAGTCGGAAAAAACAAGACTGATGGAGACTTACTCGGACATGTCGTCGCTGACAATTCGTACAAGCTTCCGGGTTTCTGGTCCAACCGCCTTTGCCACCCTGACTCTTGGGTTCCAAATGCCAACCCCTGGAGCCTCTTCCGCTGCCACCTCGTCTTCCCCTTCCACCTCTGCTCCCTGGACCACCTCTAACTTTGGAGAGTGAATGTGGATCGCAGGAAGTCTGTGTATCTCGTTAGCACCCGTACTCTTCGTACAATTGCTTCTCCATTCCTAGCGAGGGGACTCTCGAGAGACAAGAAGGAGAGAACATACCGAAGATGACAAAGTGGTCGGCCAACCTTTCCCTCTTCGCATGGGCAGATACGCGCCTACCCCCACCGAAGACCACGCTCGCGCCTACAGGACAACGTGACCACCAGCGCCGGTGAGGGTGAAGATCTTGACTTGAGTAGGGCATTTCTCGAGCTGGTTGGAGCTGAGGATGTGGGCGATGCAAAGCTGACAAGCGGTCAGCGACATATGACACGGTCAGACTACTATAGGTCCTACAAGACATCTGGGGTATAAGGTGGGGCGTCTGGGGTGTAGCACTGTATCGGGATGGGATGATGTCGGGGAGGTTTGATGACCTGCGAGGAGCCTCGAAGGGCCCCATGGGTGGCTGAGGGCAGCAGTGGGGGCTAGTCTGATACTAGTTGGAGATGACGGGAATGCAAAAGAGGAAAGAGATAATTGTGTTTTGTATCTCCAGGGACCGGCGGGGTTAATGACTGTGTGGCACGAAAGGACGTGTTCGAGGCCATGAAAAAGGCCTTGGCGAAGAGGTGCGTTTCTGCATCCACTTGTGCTCGTATATCGCCGACTAAAAAGCTATGTAGTCGGGAGCAGGCCAGCGAGAAAGAGACGGGAGAGTTCTCCCAACCGGGTGCATTGTGTGGCCAGACTCTGACGGGGAATGAATCATGATTGCCTACCACTTTGTGATATAAAAGTACGAGAGTCGGCCAAGCTTCCTTCGAAGGCCAGGCGGTCGATTTATGCTTGGGCAGGACCATTAGAGCTGCATTATCAAGCATTATCAAGTCGACAGCCTAGCATCCAAAGTAGACCTGCATTAGCAAGTGACTTCCATATAGCCGACTGGCTGAGTGCCTGAGATTTGCTGCACTTCGGACCGCCGCTCGCCAGTTTCTGACTTTTGCTTTCTCTGCTTCATCTCATCTGCGGCAGTCTCAAGCTCCATCATCCCCGGTTTCTTGTATCCCCACGCGTGGTGTCATGCCCCGAAATATAGCAGTCGAGGACAATCTCTACCGTGAGCGCCCCTCGCTACAATCGCGTGTCCCTTTAACACCTCGTCTAGTCGACGAAGCCGAAGAATTCATCCTGGAACACGCCGTCGTCGCCTCCCCACCCCGCTCATGGCGCCCCAAGCCCACCCCCTCCAACCCTCCAACCACATCCACTGCCCCACCCGAGCGGACAACGACAACGCGTAGAAAGATGGATTGGACCGAAGAAGTCAAGGCCCACCCTGACGAGCCGCTAGACGAGAGTTACTGGAAGAAGGGCAAACGCCGGGCAAGTGGTGTGGCTGATGATTATGAGGTGGGTGATGAGGAAGGGGGCGCTGATCAGGAAAGGTGTATAATCTGTTTGATGGGTTTGAACGATAGGACCATCGTCGGTGTTTGTGGGCACGAATTTTGCGTGAGTCGTACACTACCATCAAATGACAATGCTAACAGGGGTATAGTTTGAGTGTATCTGTATCTGGTCGAACCAGAGCAGGAAATGCCCTCTATGCTCTGGCGATATGGCGCCGTTCCTACTACATGACCTCGACGCAGAAGCGCCTACCAAAGTACGTCGCAAGATCCGACCCGAGACTTTGCTGACGCCTCATAGTACTATCTCCCTCCCCTTCCATCCAAACCAGCTCAAGAGACCATCAGGGATCGTCTTCCCACCAGGCAAGAACGCGCAAGATCCGGAGAGCCAATCGTGCCGGATGAGGTGGATCTGCAAGTCGCGCGCCGGCGGCAGTACTACCAGCATGAGCTGTATGTCAAGGTGCGTGTGTTTGCTTGTGAAGAGTGGGTTATAGTCTGACGGTAGTGTAGCATATGGGTACGAATCGACACTCTCGTTTCCGGCCCAACCCTACGCCTCGCCAAATCTCTGAAGATCCCCAGCTCGCCCAACGCGCTCAAGCATTCATCCGTCGCGAGCTCCGCATATGGCCCGCCCTCGATGTCGAATACCTTACGACCTATATCCTCTCTTTGCTAAAGTCAATCGATGCGAGGTCTGAGGCGATTGTGAGGCTGCTGTCCGAGTTTCTGGATACGGATGAGTTTCCGAGCGCCGCGGAGCATTTCGCGCATGAGGTGTACTCGTTCATGAGAAGTCCGTTCAGTTATCTGTCAGAGTACGACGAGATCGCCCAGGTGCGTCACCTCTCCAGAAAGAGGGGTTTAAGACTGACGACGGCACAGTACGACCCAATCCCTCAATCACTATCCCCAAGAGGCCGATCACCCCTACCCAAAGCCCTCTCCCCCCAAGGCCGCTCACGTTCAAGATCATTCGACTCTCTCTCCTCCCGCTCATACTCTCACTCCCGCTCCCCAAGCCCATACTCCGACTACTCTCGCTCGAGATCATACTCCCCTCGCCCCCGTCAACGCTCCCCATACCCTCGCTCCCGATCTCCATACGACCGCTATCGCTCCCCACCTCCTTACAACCGCCGACCGCTCTCACCTCACCGCGGGGGGTATAGGGACAGGGATCCGTATGTCAACCCGGGATGGACGGCACAGCTCGAAGCGAGGGAGAGGAAGAGGGAGAAGAATATCCTCAAACGACGGAGAAGGGAGGAACGTCGGGCAGAGCACGCTAGAGCACGACAAGTTGTGCCCCCGAATGGTTGGGGGCAGGCGGGGCAGGGGTCGGGGCAGGGAATGAAAGAGAGGGTAGAGCTCTTGCCTTCACCGCCAAAGGTCCAAAGACCGTTGGACGAAGATGTGGAGATGACCAGCTCTGCCCCATCTCTATCTTCCCGGCTAGCACCTGCTTCCCGAGATATGCAGAGACAAGCTCCCCCACACCTCGCCAGCAGGCTATCTATCAAAGGCGCTGCTGCTGCCCGACAGGGCCCTCTCGGAAAAGTCTCCATCAACGAGGAGATTGAAAGTCGGCGCTTGTCGTTGAAGGAAAGGCTGGACAAGGCAAGAGCGGATGCCGAGGCCAAAAAGTCTGCGGCAACTGAAGGGATGGATGCGGTGCCGGCTGTAAAGCTATCGTTGAAAGAGAGATTGGAGCGCGCGAAAGCAGAAGGCGCCAAGCGTTACGCCGGTATAGCTTCATTCACACCGCCTCCCACCTCGCTCTCAAATGAGGCTGGACCTCCCTCTGCCCCCTCGGTACCCCCCAAACCTGTTCGCACGAACAGCCAAGGGGACACGAAACAAGGCCGACGGGGCAAGCTCCAACTCCGGCTCAAGCTGGAGCACGAACGAGCGCTCATGCGCGCTTCTGCCCAAGCACCTCCCGCCGCTACACCCACTCCATCCATCACCCAACCCACATCACGGCCTTCCCAATCCCCGCTCCCGTCCACACCTGCCGAGGGTGCAGATCAAGGAGTAGAAGCTACCATGGAGAAAGCCCTGAAACGTATGACGGAGCAAGAACGTCAGCGCGAAGTCCGAAGGAGGCTTATGGTGGCCAAGTTGAAGGCGGCAGAGACGGATCAGGAACGGAGAGCGAGAGAGTTGAAGGTGAGGTTGATGGAGAGGAAGAAGGGGGTCGAGCCTGGGGTTGTCGTGTAATGTGGTCTGGAAATGCAACCTGATCATTAAGAAGAACGCAGATGACATGCCCAGCACGATGCTATAAGTAACGAAAGAAGTCTCTGAACTATGCAACTACAAAAAGAGAAAAAAGATGCTTGTGCTAAAAATACAGAATGTGGAAAGTACCAAAAAGGAAGAAAAGCGACTAGATGTATACCTAAGCTACAACGTTCGTAAAGCGCGTCTGAAGATCGTTACAGAGTACAAGGAGATCAAGCAAGGCCAGATGCAAAGGATTCAAGCTTGGCGAGGGGCACTCCTCTGAGACAGAGGTCGCATGACCTTGCTTCCCGCTGGTCGTTGGCTGCGCTGCGGCTGGAGAGAAGACCCCGACATGGCTTCATCTTCATCCCCCGAAGAGAGCGCTGGCGATCCACTCCTCCTTGGCTCCATCCCCATCCCAGCCCCGAGACCAAGACCAAGTCCCAGTCCTTCCCGAAGGTTGCCAAAAGTGCCGAAAGACGGCAACGGCGAGGAGAAAGAGCCAAGCTGCCCGATAAGGTCCGTCGTAGACCCTACACTCGACCCCGCAAAACTTGATGGTGTGGGCGAAGCCGATCTCGAGGAACATCCTTCGAGCGATGATGTGGATGGCGAAGGGGAGGGGAGCGCCTGGGGCACAGGGACGGGGTGGTGGAAGATGCTCTGGTAAGACGGTGTGGCCGTGGTAGGTGTAGGCTGAATGAGAGCGAAGCTGGGGGCCACGAGTGCGAGAGGAGTCAAAGCTCCGGGAGAAAGGACAGGAGCGGAAGGCGCAGGAGTAGGAGCAGGAGGCGATGGGGGAAGGCAGTCTTCGTAAAGCGGAAGAGGGTCGCACTCTCTCAGATCGCCATTCTCCAAGAACAGCTGGATATAAGCTGGCAACGCCGGTGTTTTCGCAGATCTCGATGGAAGGGTGGTGGGGCATGTAGCGAACCGAATGGGAGTCGACAGAAGCACAACTTGCTATGATTCTATCAGTATTGTGAAAATGATAGAGAGAGAAAGTTGACTTACAGCATCGTCGCCGTGGGCATTCTTGCACACAATCCGGATCTTGAGTGTATGCTTCACCCTCATGAACGGCCCGTTGTACTCTGCTTGCGGCCTCCCATTCACACCCTTCTCTTGGCTATGGGACCCAAGCTCAGGCATGGGCAAAACCACATTCACCTTCCTCCACTTTTCACTCAAGCCAAGACCTTCATCAGCGAAGAAGAAGTTTCGCTGGTTGCCGTCTTCAGAGAGCAAACACGACCTCGACCTGGTCCCTTTGAAAGGCCGGTCTTGTTGTCCAAAGACGGAAGAGAGGTTGGGCGAAGGGGGTGAGAGAAGTTTGTGCTCGGAAGAGTGGGTAGAGGGTTGTTCGTCAGGGACAGGGAAGGTGGAGAGGAAGGACGCGGAGGGTGTGGATCTATACAGAGTCAGTGGGTGAAGGCAAAGAGAGAGAAGGGGACTTACGAGAACCACTCGACTTCTTCAACTTCCATCCCGAGCTCAACCATCCTTGTCAAGACATCTTCATCCTTCTTTTTCTGCCTCGACTCGCGCTCCATGGGCACAGACTCAAGCTCACCCGTGCTTTCCTCAGCTTCAGCCTCAGTCTGCGTTGACTGCTCGGAAGGAGTAGAGGAAGAGGAAGCAGAAGGTTGGTTAAAGACATCCTTCCTCGCCCTAATCCTCAGGCTGATCTTCAGACTCTTCTCCTCCCCATTGACATCCACAAACTCTGGCACACTCACCACACACTCCACCGGAGAGGTACTATCTTTCTCCGGCTTGAGTGTAAAGTGCCTTTCCTGCACTTCTGGCGCTTGGGCCGATGAAGACGGAGGAGCGATACGGTGTCGGAGGATGGTGAAGGAGGAGAATTTGGATGATGAGGGGTGGGAGGAAGATGGGAGGAGGGAAGAGTTGCCGAACAAGCGGCTGGCGGGAGATGTTTTGGTGTATGGCCTGGAAGGGAGGATGTCGTCCATAAACACATCGGAAGACGCACTCGAGCTCGAGCTAGCCGCGGAAGAGCTGGAAGAAGGCCCAGTCCATCCGACGACAGCCTTGACAAGACAGCCATAAGAAGTAGCGGTCATATCCGAAGCCTGTGTGCTCGGCAGCCAGCCGGGAAGACGCATGTCGAACGGCAAGGCAAGCTGAAATTTGGCTGCATGGGGCCGAGAGGGGTCGGTACTGGGAATGAGCAGCGGACTCGAGGGGGTGGCGAGACTCAGGGTCTGAGAGTGAAGGCGCATGGGAGTGTATCGGCCTAGGGGAGATTAGCGAGTTGATCGGAATAAGCGGAAGGGTAGATGGGGAAGGCTTACCGGCATCGTCCCAGAACTCGCTCTTGCCCTCCATCACCACCTCGAGGCTCTGGATCTCGCGCAGTCGGCCTTCGAGTGGGGCGGGAAGCGAGTTGAAAGTGAGCACGATGTGGCCGGGGAGAGAGTACGAGGTACTGCAAGTTGAGTCAGCTTTCGACACGAGGCAGGTGGCAAAAATGAACTCACCCAGTGTTGGGACCACCAATCATATCGACGACGCCCCCTTGCTCAAAGTTGACGTCAACCTTGGCGGCGAGGTAGTTTGACTGGGATGTAAAGACCATGTTGGATAGCGAGAATTGCGGAATGGCTGGTGGGCGGGGAGAGCGGAGGACTGTGGGAGGTGAGAGGGTGTATGGGGTGGCAGCAAAACGGGATGGGCTGGGAGTAGACGGCGGTGATCTACGGAGAGAGATGGGTGTTGATGGGTTCGAGATGGGAAAGCGGGTTGAAGTAGGGGTGCGAGGGGGCGATGAAGCTGCTGAAGGAGTCGAGCTGGTTGAAAGGTGGTTGAGAGAAGGATGGCTTTGGGCGGAAGGGTAGCTTTGGGCGGGATTGTGTGAAGGAGAGGGAGAGGAGGGGGGCTGGGAAGCGGGCATGGTGCTTTAAGGGGCGTGGAGGGAGCAGTGCAGGGGAAGCCGACGGGACAGGGCGTGTTGGACTGACGATCCTGTGTGTGGGAGGCAGTGAGAGCGGGAGGAAAGAATGTATTCCAGACGGTGCTTATGTATTATCCACTCTGTGTGCTGCATCGGAATGCTCCTGAAAGAACAATAGAAAGAGAAGCGTAAGGGGCGTGGCTTATGAAAACAATAGCCGTGCCTGGGGCAGTCACCACAAACAACAAAAAGCGATGACCCGAGCCGTTTCAGAGTACAAAAAGCAGTCGGGAGCACACACCCCGGGGGAAAACACATAGTGTGCAACGTATACAACGAGGTCCGATCGCTCGGCTTTTCCTGAACGAAGCGGGGGAAGAAAGACTCAGCTGATGGTCGGCCTTCGCGGGGCATTGCCACACAGGCTTACGTCCCGCCATCTTTGCGTCGGAAGAGAAGGTGGGGGATGATCGATGATCGACAGGGGAGGAGAGGGCTACACGCGCCATACAAGGATGGCGATGATGACGGGGAGTGTATATACACCTTTCAGCTGATGGAAAGAGCACAATAGCGGATTCCAGCCAGCAGTGCAGCAGCAGCAGCACTGCAGCATTCGGCGATTTCGCCATTTACTACGTAAAGGTATGTAGGGTGATCTGCAGACAATCATCAATCATCATCAATTGCAATAATGGCGTTTCTGGAGATGCACAAGTGTGCACAAGGGATGCATGGGGGCTGTACGTGTATATGCACCGGCATCAGTGATGGGAAACCTGATCCTTGCATATAGCCAGTATAAATTGTCTATTGTCTTTCCTCTCATTCTCACGGTATCCTTCTCGGTACTCAACGCCTTGATCCGTCTACTCAAAAAGTCGTCAAAGTAGTCCTTAGATCAGAAACCCTGAACCATCAAGTCAGTCATTCTCCCCCATCTTTCCTATCGCTGCGAATATACACACGGGTACAGGCTTTCAAGGCGTGGCAGAGTATATGGCGAGAGCGTCGGATACGGGTCTGCGTACGATAGAGCGAAGGGGCGTGGCGGACCTTCCTGTTGGTAGCCCGCACGGAGCCTTGATGCGCCATCACCGCGGTCACTATCCCTGTCACTATCGCTCTCTTCCGCCTCTTCCATAACACGAAGCAGCAAGATCAGTCCGTCGTTCTTGCGCGACCCCTCGGCCGGAGGAAGTTCATCATGCACGACAATCCTCCTCGGCGTCTTCCTCGGTGTCGGATACGCACTCTGACCAGCCTCCTGCGCTTCGGCGACCTGGTCCAAACTCGGCTTTCCGCGTGAGGTCGCTTTCTTCTCCAGAGTGCGGGGACTGGTGTTGGCTGACCGTGTCCGTCGGGCAGCTTTGCGTACCGGCCTCGCTGGCTTTGCGGTCTCGGGCTCTTCTTCATGCCTTTGTATTTGTCAGCACGTCCCTCGTCTCTCGCTCCCGAGGATGAGATCTGGGAATTCGTACGGTTTTTGCTCGATTGACTTTCTCTTCTTCGCCAGTCTTGTCGACACCCGACACTGTCCCTCCTCGGTGTCTTCTTCCACCGATCTATGCTTACGTTTGTTGTTTAGGGAGTCGCTCGCCCTGAAGCTCTAGGTCAGTCGTCTTGCATCCGGCCTCAACTTGTCAGGCAGTTTACCTCTCGGGCGAGGGAGTTGTTGGTTGTTTGGTCATAGTTGGTTGATAGGCTGGGATGCAGATGTAGGGTGATATAGTATGGATGATCACTCAAAAGAGAAGACGATAGCAAACATGCACGGACAGGAAACCCATGCAAATACCCCTCCATAACGCACCCCGCCCATGTTTCCAGATCATCCCACTTCTTTCCACTTTTGTCCCGCTACTGTATCAAAGCGATGATATCATGGCAGGAGCGGAAAGAGGATGGATGGATGAAAATCTCAGATCCGTCGGAAGTGCCTGACGAGCGGGCGTTATCTTATCTCGGATTTACGTACGCGCGATGTCGAGGGGTGTGAGCTACATAGAGTATGTTACTTGACGAGACAGAGGAAAATGTAAAAGAAATTTGCAGATAGGTCTTACAACATGAAATCTTATTGCATGATCGAGGACTGTAACGACAGAATCGTAAAATTCCACCGGCGCCTCCGCCCCGTCTCCCTCCCGCGCGGTTTACGTTGAGAGCAAGATGGACCAGTGTGTGGATGGTGTGAATAATCAGATCTTGATGGAATGATAGCATAGTGAGTAAGGTGCATACTACGAGCTCCTATCCTCGCTTTAGTCAATGACTCCGCTCGCCACAAGAACACTCACCCCTGTACTAATAGCTTGTCCGCCACTGTACACCCTCGCTCCGAGAGGAAAAGCTTAGTATGATGGTTGGGACAGTTCCGCTCCAGTGCCTCCATCATTCTCGCGACCACCTCTTTTGAGCCTTCGCCGCGCTTGAAAGAGTAATTGTCAACGAAAACGTCCATCTCCTTGTCCTCATATGACCACCAGCTACCGGTCGAATTAGCCTTGAATGAGCAGTAAGCCCTGCGATCGTACTCACAACAAGAAGTCCCTCAGCTGCTGTTCGTGTGTTTTTCCTCTCGCCTTCATTTTCGTCATCTCCACGTACACCCACTTGAGACAATCCACCTGGATGAAATCCAGACCGCTCAGCTCCGTGTCCTGCAATATCCGTATGATGGGCCCATTAGATTGCAGATATCGTATATCAGCCCTGCCACGTCGTCGCGGGAGACCATAGCGTCCTGGGTGCCGCTGAGGCTCATGATAGAAGCAAGCCGAGCAAAACGAGAAGCGATGCTGGTTACCTCATCGGGAAGTGAATGAACACGACAAAAGGAGATGAAGAAAGAGCGAGGGATATGAAGACAGTTGGGCGTTGTGATATCTCCTACAGTCTTCAGCCCATTGAACAGCGGGAATGTTGGGCCGGGGAGATAGTCTGTAGGGACCGGCCGGGGGGAGTCCTTCGACCTGATCCAGTCCAAGTAACGAGAGGGCAGTGAAAAACCACTCAACGTTGCAATTGCTGCGCAGCATGCGAGGAGAGCATCGAGGTCGTGGATGGAGACGGTCTGTACGAGGTTGAGGAGGTACATCCGCCTAGCTGCGGGCGACGCTCGTCCTTCCCAGGGCATATCGACCCAACGTGCCTTCTCGATGCTGACGCGTTCATAGAGGACGGGGACGAAGTCGGTGTGGTGTTGGCGAGAGAGAAGGATGAGCTTGGCGAGGAGAGGTTTGTCGTCCAAGTGTTGCAGGTGCTGAAAAAATGAGGATCCGCACTTCGTTGGGGAGGGGATCGAGGGTAGTGAGAGGAGGTGTCTTTGTGGACATGGTGAGCGAGTCTATATAGAGGAGTGAAGGAAACTCGATGAACGAACGAATGCACTCTTATATAGGATGCTTCCCGCCTACCTGTTGTACGTAACTGCACTACGCTATGTCAATGACGAAATGGGAAGAGTCCTGGCCGTATAGCTGTATTAGTCCATTCTGCCCCAAGACCGCACTCTCCCAAGGATCTGCAGCTGTCAATCCATTATGGCCATACATCTCTGTCGTAAACATACGTATGTCGCGAATAAGCCCAAGACTGCCTCCCTCTCCCTCCCGATTACTACTATTGCTTCTTAGGAATGATATTCGGGTAAATCTACGCTCCCATTATTAGCACCCCTCTGAACCTCATATCCAAAAACACAACAAAAAAGCAAACTAACCTTGCCCGGATTCATCAAACACCCCGGATCAACCATCCTCTTCACACTCTCCATCAAATTAACAGTTCCCTCCCCCAGTTCCTGCTTCAAATACTCAATCTTGCCGAGCCCCACACCGTGTTCGCCGGTGCATGTGCCGCCGAGGGAGATGGCGCGCTCGACCATGGAGTGGACGGCTTCTTCGACGCGGGCGAGTTCTTCGGGGGAGCGGAAGAGTGCGAGGGAGTGGACGTTGCCGTCGCCGACGTGTCTGGAGAACAAATTAGTGGGGTGAACGAAAGGAGGGGAGGGAGGACTGACCCAAAGTGGCAGGCAATAAGACCGCGTTCATCGAAATCTTCTCTTGTCTCCCTGACGAGTCTTGGTAATTTCGAAATCGGCACACTACCCCAAATCAGCTCTCTGCCATCCGGTCTAGAGTGGAGACGCACCAGACATCAGTAGTCCACACTCTCGCACCATCGACCAGCCCCAAAACACTCCATAAGGCCGCCTTCCGCCCCTGCCAGAGGGCATCGGCTTCTTTATCAGATTTGGAGAATTCGAAATTGGCGCCCCCGTGTTTGGAGACGAGGCTCTTGACTGAGGTAGCCACCTCAGCCATCTGCGCATCAGACCTGTTCCCAAAATCAGTCACTATCCATAAGAGAAAGGGATGAAAGACTTACCCCTGGAACTTGAAAAACAACGAGTCCACCGCATTATACTGCCTCCCAGCCAGCCCACCCTTATTGATAGCCTCCATCGTCTTTCCATCCAAATACTCTACGCACTGTACCGGATAACCCTTGTTCACCACCTCCGTCGCCGCCTTGACAGCCTCTTCGACGCCGGGGAAAGTGACGACGGCGCATTTGGTGGGGAGCAGAGGGGCGAGGCGAAGGGACGCTTCGGTGACGATACCGAGGGTGCCTTCGGCACCGATGAAGAGCTTGGTGGTATCGGGGCCCGCGGCGGATTTTCGGGCGTGGGAGCGAGTACGGATAATTTCGCCAGTGGGCAATACCACTGTCTGTTTACTCTTGTCAGCTCGAGTCAAAAAGGGGAGGAGGGGAAGGGACGTACGAGGTTGAGGAACCATTCGGCTTTGGCGGTACCGTATCGGACGGCATTCGTACCGCTACAGCCTGTCCCGGCCATACCTCCTATGGTGGCTCCGGGTCCGGGGTCGAGAGGAAAGAAGAGGGGGACGCCTTTTTCTTTCAAATAAGCATTGAGGTCTTCCCACTTGACACCGGCTTGTACCCTTGCCTCTCCATCGTCCTCTGATATTTCAATGATCTTGTCCATCTCTGAGACGTCGAGCGAGATACCGCCGTAAGGAGAAGAGTAGTGCCCTTCGAGAGAGGTACCGCCAGAGAAGGGAGTGATGGGGACCTTGTACTTTGCCGAGATCTTGACAATCTCTTGTACCTCCTCTGTCGAGTTGGCCCAGACTACTACCGTCGGCTTTTCAGCAGAATGGTATGACCAATCACTGATCCCATGCGTTTCCAAATCAGCATCGTCAGTCGACACTTTGTCCCCCTTGCCCTTCTTTTCCCAAGAGGCCTGCAGCTCTTTGATAGCCGAAAGGTAATCCTGCCTAGACCCGTATGAAGGCTGGTTCTGGAGTTGGTGCGGGATAGCTTTGGATGATTCTTGAAGAGAGGTGGACGGGGGGAGGGTCTGGACGTTGCCGAGCAAGAAGCCGGCTCCGGTGAAGAGGGCGAGGGAGAGGGCGTACCAGGCGGCAGAGATGCCTGCTGCCGGGGGTCTAGGCGGGGGCACGGTCGAGTTGAAGCGTCGGGGCAAGACTTGAGGCCTAATTGACCTTGCGAGGGGACGTCTGAGAGCGGAGAGACGCGCTGACATTGTGGTGGATGGAGGGCAAAGAGAAAAAAGTTGGGATATCAGCCAAATATCAAGCCAAAATACAGTCCGGCTGTTATGGCACGGCAGCACGTGATGGCGGGCTCGGCGGCCGGCGGATATGGCCGGGGGTGTTACGTATGCACAATTTCTGGTGGAGGCAGCTTGTCTGTGCAGTTGAAGGGACTGTGGGCGGTGTTTGTTGGTAGCACAGCATGAGGGATCATTCAACATGGGGCCGAGGGGGGTAGGGGCAGGGTAGGATGGGGTGCGCCACTCTCCTCTATCATCCCCCAGCGACGGTCTCCTGCTATTACCCCCGCCAGCCCCAGTTACTCGGTCTCGAGCAAACGCGCCGTGCCGCCGTGTCTCAGCTACGGCCCAAAGGATGTCAATACCTCAATGTTGAACGAGGTCCTTCCCGCAGAAACGTTTCCATCTCATCTTCTTTTCTCTTTCTTCTTGAGATACACGCCACTTCTTGCGCGATACCGCTACCTCCTGGGAAGACATGGGCGACGCCGACCTGGACGACTCACAACTACTGGGACCGAGGGAGCGGCTAGCGGAGAACATCAGAGTGCTGAGAGGGAGATTGGAAGAGAGGGCGACGGGGCCTGGGGGCCAAGTGCTGCCCGAGTGGATCACTTATGTCCCAGTGAGTGCTCTTCTGCCTCGGTGAACTGAGCTGACCGTGAGTAGTACGAGACGACCATAGACGGCGTGCCCATCACCACTGGCAGCCTCGTCGAGCTTCCTCTCACTTGTGAGTACCCCTATGATACTTCTACATGTGGCTGACTCGCGGTAGACTATGGCCCTTCTATACCACTGGCGCAGGGCTGGACATATGGCGGATCCACTTCGCCCGCTTCGACCGCTTCATCTGCTTCAGCCACCTCGGGGCAAGAGTCTTTGGGGAGCTCGAGCTCGTCAGCCACAACTAGTTCACGGTCCTCGGCGAGGCCGTCTCGATCCTCCGACCGATCGCGCTCGAGGAGTAATACTCGCACGAGCACTGCGAGCGAGGCAACGACGTCGGTGACTAGCGCTACGGATTCGGCTAGTACGAGCCTGGCGAGATCCTCATCGGGATCGGTCGTATCCAGCTCTAGCTCCAGTCCTAGCTCTAGCTCTGCCACTCTTTCATCGAGCTTATCTAGTTTGACAACTCAAAGCTCGGTCAATTCAACCTTCCCAACTGCCACCTCCACCTCCACCCTCGGCGCTGCCCCAACTTCGTCCCATCGTCACCTACTAGCCCCTCTTCTCGCCACTCTTATTCCCTTCGGCCTCGCCCTCCTGGCCCTCCTCATTCTTCTCTACCTCTGGCGAAGAAAACGGCCGAATAAGGATGTTGGCTTCTTCCCATGGCTGTTCACGCCGAAAGAGTGGGCGGCTGTCCCTGTCGTCACCTCCGACAAGCCAAGTGAGAAAAGGAAGGAAGGACCCCCAGCTGCAGTCCCCGCAGGACTACGCTCCCCAGACGAAAAGAGCGCCCTTCTCCCCGATTTCATCGCCCAACACCCCCGAAACTCGTCTTCCATCTCCACCATCGCCCCTCTCCCTCTTCCCAGACCATCCACCTCTGCTGGCGAACACGACCCCGAGATGAAAGACCTCGTGCAGCAAAACCAATCTCTCCTGCATCGTCTCACTCTCGGGCTGGGGTGGGCGCCTACGCCGTCGCAGAGACATTCTGGGTCTTTTGAAGGGGTGAGACGGACGAGTGGAAATACCGCCGAACGCGGGGAGAATCCGAGCTCAGGAGTGGGCATGGGAGGACGAATGGTCTCTGGCGCTATGGCAGGAGCCCTAGCTGCCGCCGGCGTCTTTGGCGTACGCAAAGAACGGTCAGCAGCGGGCTTGACCACGAGTTCAAGCGGGAATGAGACGTCGGGGACGGGACAAAAGTATGAGAGGGTGTTGGATGAGGATCAGCTGTTTTATCGCGTGCCGCCGCAGACTTCGTCGTCGAAAGGGTCAAATAACGATTCGAGCTCGAGGTCTAGGCCGTCTACGGGGGGTGGGCGGTGGAATAGGCAGCAGCCTGCTTTGCCGGAAGGTAGTTCCTCAGGGCACGAGACCCGGCCGAGTATGACGTTCTCTGTCTCCGTGCCAGAGACGCCTGGGAGCAGACATCTATCGGAGCGAGATATGGACGTCGCCGAATTTGGCCGCAACATTCCCATACCCCAAATCTCGCCCAGCAAAGTCCGTCCAGTCAGCGGTGAACGCGAACATATGCGGTTCCCCATCCCCCCCGGCTTGGCTTTTGCTCTGAAAAAACAGCCGAGGAGCAAATCGTCTTTTGCAGATGTGGGGAAAGACAAAGACAAGGATTCGCGGACGAGTACTGAAACGTTCTATTCTGCTCTGACTGGACGGGAACCGCCTGCCTACTCGCCCGAATCGCCCCCCCGACCTCAAGGATCGCCGATCCATCGGGATAATGAAGATTACCGCCATGCCAGTGTCTCGGTCTTTGGCAGCGTCCCAGCGACACCCGTACCGGCAGAGTGGGAAGGTACAGGGTCATCGCAATCCCATACCGGCCAGTCCGACTCTCAAACTGGGCCCTTATCACGAGAAACGTCTCCGCATAAGAGTTTGTACGCCCCCTCGCCCGTATCGCCAGCTTTGATCTCGACGGCAAGGAGGTCTCAAGTCACGCCGGTGGGGGATGATGCGATAAGGCCGATGAGGCGGTTGTTTGGGCTGTCGCCTACGCCGAGGAGTAGTACGGATTCGCGAGAACCTGTTTCCGCCAGAGGGGCAGAAGAAGGGGAGGGGGATGATAGTTGGAAAGGGGAGCCGCTGATTGATGAGAGGGATTTGAGTACTAGTGGGGATGGTGCTGGTGCGAGGGGAAGGGAGAGGGAGAGAGGGAGGAGGAGGATGGTTGGGGAGTTTGGGCAAGGGTTGAAGAGCGTTCCTTTGGTATGTCTCTCGAATTACTTAGGGTGTTGAAGCTGATGTTGGTATAGGCCGGAGCATCGAGGACACAGCAAGCACCTCTCCCGCACTCTCATCAAGGTTCAATCCACTCCTCCAACCTCTCTTCCAACCCCACCTCTCTCTCCCCAGCTTATCCCACAACGTCATCATATCAACCTTCTCCTCTTTCTCCCCTCGCGCCGAAATCACCGCACTCGATGAAATCACACTCTTCCCTCGCGCATTCACTTTCGATAACGTCAACGTCGGCATCGGTCTCGGCGTCGGGGTCGAGCAGTGGGCATTCGGTGACGCATAGTACGCAGGGACAGGGGGTGAGGGGGAAGAGGAGTGCGGCGTTGTTGGTTCCTGCTGGGGCTGTTGCTGTCATTGCAGGAGGTGGGGGTGTACCGCCTGTCCCACCTGTCCCTGCTCCTGCTCCGGTGCCTATGGTCGTACCAGCACAAGAATATAACGAGAAGGAGAAGGAAAAGCCGATAGAGGAGGTGGAAGAAAAGCAGGAATTGTTGGAAAAGACGCCCAAAAAGGAGAAGGAGGCAAAGACAAAGAGATGGTCGCCTCCGAAACCTGTTGGTCCGCGGCCTGCTAGTGGGGAGAAGGCGACGATATGGGGTGGTTTGAAGAGATGATTATATTTCCATGAGGGGAATTGCAAGGACTTTTTTGGAAAAGAAATGGGGGTGCTTGTGTATAATCATAGGTCGTTTCGCATATCACGTTATCATCCCGCTTTAGGGACAGGAGCATGAGAGAAGGAGGAGGTCATCTATCGTCTAGTCTGACATATCACAATTTTTTACGTATCTTGAACGTTCCCATCATATCACGAAAAGTATCTTTATCAGCTCTATTATCGGTTGAACGACGAGTATTCTATCATCTATGTATGCATCTTACGAAGGACATGTGGCCTTTCGAGATCAAAATTGAGGAAAAGTCGGTCAACGCGGTGTTGGCCTGGGCCGTGGAAGATGATGGGTGCATTGGTGATGCAAAGTCGAGTGTCGCCTGGGTCCTGGATCTATGATCCCGGCCTCCTCGCTTTGCCGGGTCCAAATCCAAGGAGTTCTGGGCTTGCAGCTACGAGTGGAAACAAGTGTCTGTTGTCGATTCCGCAAGGTGCACGGAATACCGACGATTCGATATGACGAGACTCTCCGCATTCTGTTTCTCTCTCCCCTCTTTCTTCTTGCTACATCTCTCTGTGTTCTACATCATCTCTATCATAACAATCACGCCATCTCACCATGTCGATCCTGCCACTACACCACAACAACGGCGCCCATCAAACCCGTCCACAGGATCAGGCTCTACCCATGGAACCACTGCGCCCTCGCGACGACCTCGCCATCGCTTTTCCTGCCCCTAGTCATGCAGGCCGCTGTACCTTGTGCAGTTCCTACTCTACCGCCCTCACTCAACTCGCTTCTCTCCCAACGACACCGAAACCGATACTCACCACTCTAACGCCCCTCGCTCCAGTCCACGACCATCTCCTCGCCCTCCTCCTCAAGCGGGAATACCTCGGCCCGAGCGCGACCATGTCCCTGGCACCAGCGATCTTCGATCATGCAAAATACAATCTTTATCGTCGCGTCGGGATGACTACGGGGCTGTTGGTAGGCTTGGAGAAGAGGAAGAGTAGGAAGAGAAAGTTGGATTGTCTCAGGTGTGTTCAAGAGCTCGAGATCGACACGATGGAAGGCATGTGGGCCCTCACAAACCTCCATTCTCATAAACGTTCACACCTCTCCGTACCACTGCTCAACACTCTGCCTAATGTGCACACAGTGTATATTCATTGCCGCGTCTTATCCGGTGAATATATTCTGGAAAGACGGTGGGAGAACGGTGAATGTGATGTGGAGATGCTGTGGGGCGAGTTGAAAGAGGGGGTGATGAAGCAGCTGGGCGGGGGTGCGCAGGTCGTTTTTTACGGGACAAATGATGTCGATGATGAGGGGAGGGCAATTCGGAAGCGTAAAACGTTTGCTCTGCCCGGGCGACTTTTGAAAGTCAGTTCCCAGCTCTCCAAGAAGGATCTTTTTGCAAGCTGACGTCTTCGGGTACTACAGGCTGAAGGCGGTGAAAAGCTCAGATATCAACGCCGAAAGAAGGTTGCGACTCTCATCTTAAGTTTCACGTTGATTTTCAGTGCGATCATAGTGATTGCTACGTGTGAGTCTGGCTATTACTGTAGACCGCTGGAATGGATGGAGCTTCGCGACCCGTGAGAGGATTATACTGATTGGTCGTCATAGGGGGGGGTGTGGGGTATGGCATGTGGGAAATAGCGCATAAGAAGAAGGGCCAGAATTGATGGATTACTTGTATGACATGCACAGATATTTCTCTATTCCTGCCTCATCTCTATCTGGGGAAGCCGACTGTCTGCAGGTTCAATGTATCGTGAGGAGGGTGTAAAGACCAGCATGCATTACAATCCACATTCCTCTTTCTCTTCTCTTCCTTCTCGCTACTTTTGCTTATCGGAATCACATGATGACAATACACCCTACCACAAACTCCAACACCATCAATCAGTCAGAATCCAAAGATGTCTATACTTCCCCTCTACCACCAGCAACCCCATTCCGACGACTCTACCCTCGCCGTCTACCTACCATGACGAACGAGGGCATGACAATACGACGCCACGAGAAGCTTCCACGTTGACAAAAGGTTTCAGATCGGACTGACGTTTGGCGGATGGAGAGGATGGAAAGGCTGGCTGTGCTGGGAACTCTCAAGAAAGGGAGTGGAGAATCAGAATACCTATTCAAAGAGAGACAGAGAGGTGCCACAAAGGAACCCCAAGTCCAGTTTTAGACATGCTGCATGTTGGAATGCAGACACTTGCTATCGCCACTATTCCCCAAATTCCCTCTCTCAAATATTCTCCCACCACCTTACGAGCCCATCATCAAAAGCCGAATCTTTCCCCATCATGCAGTCTGATAAAGGCAAAGGGCAAGTCTCTGGAATCCTCATTGACCAACACATCACTCACCTGTTTGAGGTAGTAAAGAAACCCAGCCGTCTTTCCAAGTGACAGCCCTCGGAGGCCCACCCCGGCTCTCCATCCACAATCCCCCTCCGCCCAGATCTTATTACGGAAATACCGAGCCTGCATGGGTGGATGCCCTCTCTGGGGGCCCTGCCGACCCTTCTGATCATCATAAAGACGAGTTGAAGAGAGTCAAAAGCACCAATTACTCTATAGACCACGGCTCGGAAGCGCGTCACCTCATCGTGCCAGGATTGAGCAAAGATGGGAAGCTGGTCTATCAGACATTGTATTCTAGGCGACGTAGAGACCGTCATGAGTTCGGGATCATGGATAATGAACCGTCGCATCCTTCGTGGTGGGATGAGCAAATGAGAAAGTCGACCGAGTGGTTCATCAAGTTCAGGGAGGATGGGGGTATGGTATGTCCTTCCGTTCAGCTAGCTCTATCAGCATGATGGCTCACCTGGACACTTGCAGCAACCTCCAACAGTCGAAGGCGGGGAGAAAAGGATTACAGATCAAGACGGAAACCTCATCAAGGACGACGAGCAGGCGCAAAAAGTCTTGTCCATGTGGTCATCAATCGTCGGGCCAGACTTTGAAGATGCGCTGGACAAGAATAAAAGCAGCTATTACGCCGGTTACCACGGACGCGGTCGCGCCCACGCAACTATCATCAGCAAAGATGATGTCAGCACTGCACTCACACCAAAGCCGTACCACTATGGTGACGGGCCAGATCCTGCTCCTCGTACCACGATAACCTTGAATGAGAGGTTCCAGCCTGATCTTGAAAACGTGATAATTCGGGTCAAAGAAGGAAATAGGTGGGACCGAGAGAACGGAGCAGCAAGGGGTAGCTCGCATGTCCTCATCCGTACCGAGTACACCCCGTCACTCATTCCAAGCACAACATCGGTCCTGGCCTACCCTGCCAGCCTTGAGGATCTAGACAAACTGTCTAGTGAAGCACGAGCACTGTGGGACGGGACGGATAGGGAAACTACAGCCTACATGCAGCAAATAATCCAGAACGGTGGTACGGCTTTTGACCTATTCGATAGAGATCGCCATCACTCCACAACAATCGAGAAAAGTATCTTCCCTTACCACTATCAAGGTTACCAGGTTGGCAGGCATGATCTCGACCGCCGGGCCACAGCACGATCTAAATATATCTCTGCCTCGGTCTGCCGTGCGTTGGACGAACAGCATATGAGGAACAGCACGCGCAGTGGATCTTATATACCACCGTACGTCTCTGCACCGAACGAGTATGCCTGGGATCAAGCCCACAAGACCTGAAAGGCTTAAAGTCGAGGAGGTCGATACCAGCACGGGCAGAGGCAGGGTCGGGAAGAGTACCAACGACACAGCCGTCGATGGCGTCCTGGTTCTCAACCCGGATGGATTGAGGCTAGCAGTTTGCAGGGTCCACCTCATGCGATTGGGGATATCTTGGACGACACCGCGCAGCGCTTGGCTACTCTCACGGGATCGGGTGGAAGAGAAGAAGGCGAATCACCTCCTCCATCTTATGGCGATGTCATGGAACTAAACACGGGTTTTATCTCGAATTCATCAGGCGTTGGATCCTTCTGCGCTTCGGCATTCCCAAGCGAGCGTATCGATCACCCACAACCGAGAGGTGCGCGCAAAAGGGAGCCAGTCAACTACAGTGATGACGACAATTCTCTCTTGGGACAGCATTCCGCCGCAGCCAGCTCGTCTGCTGGTACTAGACAGGCATCACAGTATGGCGCCTCAGACGTGTCGCCTACAGGCAGCGAAACTATCACCAATATGACGCGTGTGCGCGGGGATAGTAGATCCCCTGATTCTCGTCCTCGCAAACGCAGCAGACTACTTGGCTTTTGTGAAAACAGTGTTGAGAGCTTTAATGAGTGAAAGTAGTAATACGGCATACAGCTGTTCTCTACTGATGAATATCCGCGCCACACCCATCCACCACAGGAGGCCCAAGATGCACCCATGGAACTGCTGCGCCGGAAAGCGGGCAGCGGCAGGGGCAATAGAGTGCTCTTTGTATAGTAGTCTTGCATGTACAAAGTTAGAGGCAAAGACCAATACCAAACATGCACTTGTACTGACTGATCTGATGCAGCTGACGTCAAGTTTGCGTCAAGTTGTTGCTTGTCCATATGTGATTCTACGTTCGAGCGTGCCCCACCCCTATAAAAGTGCTGTAACTGATGGCAGGGTGCATAGGCCTTATGCCGATCTCGAATGCGCGTGGGCGAGCACGGGAAGGAAAAGATGATGTTGAATGATGATCTGATTGCGCGACGCAAGTGGAGGGCAGTCTTTCGGGATTAGGCGGGCCAATGAGATTGGTGATGACACTGCGGCGAGGATTCTTGGATGTCAATTCGACGTCTTGTGTTCATCTTCGCCGATTTTACTCCCCACTCAGCCCATCACCACAGCACCGCATACAGATACCCCTGGACGGTGAGTGCAGCCATCGGTAGAGGGTGTCGCTCACGGCGCACAGTTCACGTTACAAGCACCTTCCCACCAGCAACCACGAAACACCCCTCAGCACACTCACAATGACAAACGCACCACCCCACTACACCCTCGGCCCCCACCCTCCCCATACCGACCCCGACATCACCCCCTCCCCGTCCGACCCGGACCCCCCTCCGCTCCCCATGTCCCTCCGCGAACCCCCCGGACCCGACATCCCCTCCCCAACCCGATCATCCACCCTCTCCGCCTTTCGCGCCTCCGAAGGACCCACCGCCCGCGCTGCCAAGCTGCGCTCACTATGGAATTCCCTGCCTTCCCTGCCGTCTCTACCGGACGGGGACGAGCCGACGGATACGAAGAAGATGCAGTTGCCGGGCCAGGGGACGACGGAGGCGCTCTCGCTGGAGAGGGCCGAGCGGCTGAAGAGGCTGTATGAGGAGGAGCTGGTGAAGACGGTGGCGAAAAAGAGGCCGGAGAGTGCGTTGTGGGGTGGGCCGGATGATTTGGAGCCTGAGGTGAGGCATTTGAAGGGGAAGAAGGGGACGGGGGTTGCGTGGGGAGACTTTAGGTGCGCCGACGCGAGAGCGGAAGAGGGGTGTGGGCTGATCATTTGCAGGCGCTTTTTGTGGGATAAGGAGAGGGAATTATGGGACATTTTCCAAGACCTCGACAAGAATGGTGACGGCCGGCTCGATTCATTAGAGATCAGAGAAGCCCTCTCCCGCTCTGGGATCGACGTCACCCCGGCTACGGTATCAGAACTGGTGCATTACCTCGCGAGCCATGCGAGCGAGCAGGGCGCGCCCAAGATTGGAAACAAGGAGAAGGGCAGGACGGGGGTGTATCTGACGTTTGGCGATTTCAGAGATTTTTTGATCATGTTGCCGCGGAAAGCTACGCCTTTTGAAATCTACAAATGTGCGTCCCCTCCCTCCTCTCTCCCCAAACTCCACTGACGGCAGCAGTCTACCAAGTGCGTAAACGCTTCTCCGACGGCCGAGGCGCAGCCCGCGTCGACAAAGAAGGCGACATCAACATCTCCTTCCCGAAAGCCCCCAACGCCTCCTCCACCTCCACCGCCGCCGGCTTCTTCCACCCCCCCAAATCCCACGGCTTGGAAGACGACGAATTCGCAGATACCCCCTCCGAACCATTACCCGAAGACGAGCTCGTCGGTGAAGCGCATGAAGATCGGCATGAAGCTTGGCGGTTCTTGTTGGCGGGGGGAGTGGCCGGGGCCGTGTCGAGGTCGGTGACGGCGCCGTTCGATAGGCTAAAGGTGTATCTCATCACGACGGACGACTTTTCGTCGTTTAATCGGAAACCGGGGATTGGGCACCCGTTCAAAAATGGGTTTAGGGCAATGACAAACTTGTGGGGCGCGATGAAGAAGATTTATGTGGATGGAAATGGGATCAGGGCGTTCTGGGTCGGTAACGGGTTGAACGTTACGAAAATATTCCCTGTACGATTCTTCTCCTTCTTTCTTTGTGGGGGCAAGAGCTGATTGTTGGGGAATAGGAATCAGCAATCAAATTCGTCTCATACGAACAATCCAAAAAGTTTCTCGCCAAATACTGGGACTGCGTCTCGGACCCATCCGAACTATCCTCCTCCTCGCGCTTCATCTCTGGCGGCGTGGGCGGTATCACCTCGCAACTCAGTATATATGGGCTCGAGACGCTCAAGACGAGGATACAGAGTGATATAGGGCCGAATGAAGGGTGGAGGCAGGTGAAAAGGACGGCGGGGGAGATGTGGAAAGCTGGCGGGGTTCGGACTTATTATCGTGGTTTGACAGTACGCCCCCCTTCTCTCTAAAAGAGGAAGAAGCGCTGACGAAAAGGTAAGCTCGGTTTGATAGGCGTGTTCCCATACAGCGCCATCGACATGGGCACCTACGAAACCCTCAAAACCGCCTACTGCACCTCTGCCCAAACAGACGACCCCCCCGTATTCGCCGTCCTCACATTCGGCGCCCTCTCCGGCTCTATCGGCGCCGCCTCCGTCTACCCCATCAACCTCCTCCGCACGCGGCTCCAGGCCAGCGGCTCGTCCGGCCATCCGCACAGGTATGATGGGTTTATGGATGTGTATCGGCAGACGATGAGGAATGAGGGGTGGAGGGGGTTGTATAAGGGACTGTTGCCGAGTATTTTGAAGGTGGGGCCGGCGGTGGGGGTTAGTTGGATCGTTTATGAGGAGGCGAAGAGGCAGTTGGGCGTTTAGCGGGTGGACAAGTTAGGGGAGGGATGGAAGTCAACTGTCATATATATATAAATCATCAAACCAATCATCAAGAAATTCACGCATCCCCTTCCCCTCAGCATTAGATTTCATCTCTATCTTGACTTTTTTCCGTCTTTGTGTCTGGTGTACGAGGTGTTTGAGGATGACCCATGTACATCAATGACCTTGCCCATCTACATATCCTGTCTATACATTTCGTCTTATACGTCTCTACAGTTCGCCCGCCGCCTGATCCTCCAAAGCCTTCTGCTCCAACCCCTTCCACCACTCAATCCTCCTCTCAAACGCCCTCGCCCCCTCCCCAGGCTGCGCCACCACCCTAATCCCCTCCTCCTCCAAATCCTTCTCTTCCCCCTCGCCTCCCCTCAACTTGCGCCTCTCTGCCCGGCACTCTTGTATGACCTGGTCAAAGGAGATCCATTTGCCCGCTTCGGTCTGAGCGTTGGCGCGGGCCCAGCCCCAGCGGGCTTTGAATGCGACGCCGACGGAGCACGAGTTCCACTCCGCATCCGACCATTCGCCGTCCAAGTACTCTACATTGCGGCACACCTTTGTACTCAGCACATCCGCCAAAAGCGACAGAATCGTCTTATTCTTACTCGCCCCCCCCGTCGCATACATCCGCCCCACCCTCGGGGCCGGGCTCTCGAGCGCGGGGGTCGACGCTACGAAAGGGCCCCCGCCGTCCGAGAGGATGGTGGATGAGCGGGAGCGGTAGGAGAGGAGCTGGGTGGAGAGGAGGGCGAGGGCTTCTTGGCGGACGTCGGGAAAGTGTTGGACGCGCACGGCGGAAGGCAGTTCGAAGAGGTGGCCGGCTTTGGGGGAGGTTGTGTATTTGTATGTACCGTGGGCGCCTTGGGGCTGCGTCATGTCAGTGTTCGACGTTCGGAGGAGTGGAGGGGAAGAAGGAGAATGGAGGGGGAGGGGGACGTACGACAATGTCAGGAAGGAGCCACCAAAAAGCAGCAGACGCTGGCAGGTCTGTAACCTGTTTTGGACGGAGTTGTTCGATGGCAGCGTTGAATTTGTCCCAGGATTTGTCAAAGTAGACGTCGCGTACGTGTTCGCGGGTCAATGAGCCGTCTATATTGTCGTCAGCTTATTGTCCACCTCATGAAGGACAGTAGGTAAGGGAGCTTACTTTTGTAGACGACCATGTTGAAATACCTCAAGGGCTCGCTGCCGCTCCTCTTCTCAGTCTCTTGCTCACTCGGCGGGGCGATCTGCGCGGGGTGGTAGAAGGCATGGTGTTCGGCGTCGGGGTGGTATGTGTTGGTCGAGATCAACACCACGTCGGACGTGCCCAGTGATATAAGTCCTTCACTCTCTCGCACTTGCCCCCAAAAGAGTCAGATGATGTCATAGTTTTACAAGGAGATAGGAGGGCCTTACAAGTCAAGCTGAGGAATGTGGCGGGGTTATCGCCCGTACCAGGAAAGACGGCACAGTCTGGGCTGAATCCGTATCGTTCGACAAACCATTTGCCTATCTGCCCCACGATGCGTCCTCCGTCCGTCTCTACCGTGCCCAACTTTCTCGCGAGTTCGTCTGCCCCCTCGGCTCCACCGCCGATGACTTCCAAAAGCTCTTCACTCCATCCTCGTTCTTTGCGGTTCATAGCCCAGAGGTTCATACCACACGCGTCCGACTCGTCGATCCCTTTGATCTCCCCGTCGAGGCAGAGGAGGGTGGTGATAGCGCTAGAAACAAGACTGATCCGGGCCGTGCGTCCATACGCCTCGGGGTCGATCTTTTTGAACCGCATAATCTGCGGACCCGTAAAGCGCTGATGCGCCCTCGAGCCCGTAATCTCTGCCAAAGCCTGCGGGCCGCCCACGGCGTCTTCGAGCGATTGGCACTCGGCGGTGGTGGAAGAGTCTTGCCAGTTGGGGACGACCATGCGGGAGAAGGCGTCGCGGAGCTGGGAGGTGAGGCTGTTGGAGGGGTCGACGGAGGAGAGGATGTGGGTTGAGGAGCGGTTCCAGTAGACGGAGGCGTGTTGCTACAGTACGTACGTGTCCACTGAGCTTGGGAGCGATAGGAAAGGGAAGGAAGGTGGGGGGGGACGTACTTGGCCGGCGGCAGCGACGCCTTTGATATCGGCGACGTCCCATCCCTTGCGCTTGATACGCTCGAAAAGCAAGTCGATAGCGTCGACATACATCATGACGGGGGAGTTGACCTCGCCATTGTGGCCGAAGCGGACACCGCCCTTGGTGTTGTAGGCGGGGAGGTCGGAGTCGAAGTGGACTGCGCACTCGGCGAGGATGTCGAGGCGGGCGGAGAGGAGGGAGGCCTTGAGGGACTGGGTGGAGGCGTCCAGCCCGAGGAAGAGCGGCATGCTGGATAACAGATGAGAAAAAGAGCGCACGGCCCGCGGCTCGGCTTATCTACTTTTCAGCCCCAGGCACCCATGACGTTGAACAGTCCAGAGCATGATCATGATGCATAAACTTGTCGATATCCGGCGCTCTTTTTGAGTTGAGTGACTCTGCATCTACAATGGTTGGACCGGGACGCAGGGGAGCGGCATACTATTGAAAGCTCAGTCTCACGCCATGGTTTTCTAGGATTGAAGACGCACCGAGGCGGAGCGAGTAGCTGACGATGGCGTCAGCTTTCCACATGCGCGTTAGAGAAAAAGTAAGGCTCACCCTAGCCATCTGATCTTCCTCCACGCTGCGCGCTTGTCCTCCTCCTTCATCTCAAGCTTGAAACCCATCCGGTCTCCACGACGCCAACGACAACTCCCACAACACCCTGATACCAAGCCCCGAGAAGTGGTCGATGTACTTCTACCCGTGGTATCGGGTGCTGTGGGAGTTGTCGCTGGCGTCGTGGAGACCGGATGGATTCGAGTTTGGAGTGGTTCTGGGTTTGGGGCTTGGCTAGAATCATGTCAGATCCACATAGGCGGGTGGTAGAAGAAGCAGCTGACCCAATCGCCATAGATATGTACATCATCTCGCATCATCCCTCCTGCTCCCTTCTAACACGCCGAGCATCTTGCGCTTGGTGCAGCTCTTACATGAGCCCCGTTGATCATCTGTAGCAGTTGGCGGAGCTCTGCAGGATCGTTAGGGAGGCTGACGATATCCTGTTGTAAGCCACTCACAGATGCCCTGATACTTGTCAAGTAAGACTCCAGGCTCATCTCAAAGCAATGAACGTCACTGTAAACCTCCTGATACTGCCTCTATAAATGCTCCCTTTGGGGCACCGGACATGGCGCGAAAAGAGTTGCCGTGGTTAGTTTGAGGGGCAGGGAGGGTGAGCGTGGAGTGGAGTGAGATGGAGAGCTGTGGTATTGAAACGGAATGCAGAGTGGGATGCAGGTTGGCCTAGATGAATCATATAGACATGGTAAAGAAAGAAAGAAAGAAAGAAAAAGACAAGGATATAAATACGATCCATGTATACATGGCAGCGAAGGCCACACCTCCCGGCGGCCGGCTGCAAGTGCCACACCCCCTGCCTCCACCCGGCGAATTATGAGGCGAAACGCCGTATGGAGCGGCGACGCCCGCCCCAAACTGGCCGACTGGAGATGTGGTTGGTGATTTGCGTGGCCCGTTCTTTCTCATCCCTCAAACAATCCTTTAAAATGGGTGCCTACAAGTGAGTACTGCACGGGAACACGGACTGAAGAGGACAGCTGCTTACTAGTCTCTTCCTCCTCCTCCTCTGTCCCTCTTGACACACTCTTTCGCCCGCTCTTGAACAAAATTTCATCCTCCTTCGCAACCAACTCTGCAATCGCCTATCGCCTATCCCTTCTTGTCCACCACATTCTCCTGTGCTCTACGACTGTACCCTGCACTCTCCGGCCATCTTCCATATCTCTCCTTGACGAAAACAACAAATTTCAACTATCTCAAATCTACACCTACAATTTTCGTCTCTCGCATCCTCGCTGTCATTTCGCTGGGTTTCGCTACCGCAATCACCACGACATCACTCGCTTCGCTCGCATCCACCTGCATAACCACCGCTCAATCATCATTTTACGACCCGTCCCTCTTTTCGCCCACCTGCTTGAATGAACCATCAGGTATTTGGCCGAGTTGGCTAACAAGAGGCAATCCGAGGTCTCCCAATTCTTGAGCCGGTACGTCCCCTCCCCTTCCCCCCCTTTCATTCCCTCCTAACCCCTCTCTCAGAGTCTCATGCTGGAACTACCGACAGCTCGCCGTCATCCACCGAGCTGCCCGACCCTCCCGACCTGACAAGGCCAGGCGATTGGGATACAAGGCCAAGCAGGGTTACGTCGTGTACCGTGTCCGAGTCAGGAGGGGTAACAGGAAGAAGCAGGCCCCCAAGGGTGCTACTTACGGTAAGCCCGTTAGGCAGGGTATCAACCACCTCAAGTCTCCTCGAGGCTTGAAGGCTACTGCCGAGGAGCGTGTTGCCCGAAGGTGTGGTAACCTCCGAGTGTAAGTCTTCCCCCTTCTTGTTCTTTTCTGGTCAAATTTGGGGGTGAAGGCTGATGGGTGGAATAGGCTCAACTCTTACTGGGTCAACCAGGACGGTGTCTACAAGTACTTTGAAGTCATCCTCGTCGACCCCTCCCACAAGGCCATCCGCCGAGACGCCAAGATCAACTGGATCGCCAACCCCGTCCACAAGCACCGAGAGACCCGAGGCCTTACCGCCGAGGGCAAGAAGAACCGTGGTCTCGGCAAGGGTTCCAAGCACAACCACAACCCCAAGAAGGCTACCTGGAGGAAGCACAACACGTACGTCTTTATCCTCGCAGGTGAGAGGGTGGAAGCTGATGATGGTACGATAGCCTTTCTCTCCGACGATACCGTTAAACTGCTCGATAGTTTGCGTACGATGCCTATGGTCGTGCGGTGGATTGTTTGGCGTTTTGGGGGTCAAGAGTCTTTTAGGATTGAGGGATGCATTTTTATCCCGCGTACTGACTGGATATTGGATTCATGCCCGCATGCGCAGTGGCAAATACACTTTTGGCGTAATACTACTGACCTTTTGCTGGGGGGCTGAGGAAGTTTTTTGGGGGATGGTTGTGGTGAGAGCGTGAGAGCCTGAATGACAGGTTGGTTTCTCCCCCAAGGCGAGTTTGAACAGATCAGGGCGAAATTGCTGGGTATCTCCTCGGGAATTGTGCGACCCAAGATTTCTTAACGCACAATTCTTGAAGATATCGGAGCATCGTCGCCCTGAGCTGTTCAAACTCGCTTTGGGTGGGATACTGGGTTGTCGTTGAGCCTCATGCCTCTTGCTTATTAGACTTTTTTGAGGTTTTGATGTAGTTTAGTTTAGGTGTCTGCTGGATTGCTGGTTAGCTTGGCTTGTACGTGTGTGGACTTGTGTGCTATATGGTGACCGTCAATCCTCATGGGCAGGACGGACCCCCCCCCCCCCCCCCCCCGAGTGTCTACTGGTGGCAAGGAGACCTAGCGGACAAAAAGTCGGCAGTTGCGAGAAGGCTGGCTATGCTGGGACATGTGCAGTGCGTCAGCTTTGAGGATGATGTCGCTACAGGGATATGTGGGTTTCGCGCTCTCTGGGTTTCTTGCCCAGGGTCTTGACAGCCCGCCAGTGAGCTGGTACGGGTACACATCCAGCAGCCAAGACGACTCTTCTCCCGCGCGTCACCTCTTCTATGGCCGCGCTCCCACCATCGTGCACCTCTCCCACAAGCTTTTAGGAGGCTTAGTATGGTTCTTCTTGCATGACCAACGATCAACGGGTCCAGATATGTGAATTGATGCGGCGGCTGGGGCCTTTTGGGGCGCTGTCGATCCAACAGCCAGAATATTTACGGGGACTGGATGAGTTTCACGATTATCTGGCACCAATCTGCCAAAGGGCTGAGCCCCTTGTGCTGGTGATCAACGACTACAACAATATATCCGCCTCGCCGAGATACTGTCTCCCTCCCAACGCGGTATTGCAATGCGCCTCCGGGGCAGTGTGGATACTCGGTCGATTGCACAGACTGATGAAGTCGTTGGGTTCTTGTCGTGAGTGTGCCTCATTTTACGTCTATACCAAGCTCTCACTGATGTCGTCCCACTTGAAAGCACATGAGACTCACGCGCGAGCCCCTCTTCTACATCATATATACTGTAACTTTTCGATGGATGAGGCGAGCTACGACCACTCTAACGGCGAACGAGTCAGAAACTTGATCCTCAACCGTGCCTACGCGGCGGCCTCCCAATCGCCTCAAGAGAGTATCGTGAGGCTGAAGGTCATAATGCAAGGCCCTCAGTCGGATTATGTTACGGTGGAGAGGATGAGGGATGATATATTTGAGCTGATGAAGAAGGGTTGAGGGACAGATTGTAGCTTTGGGGCGACCACGGATATCTTGTTGACTGAAAAGGGCAGTCAGTCTTTCAACTCCATCTAGATCATATAACACTATGCTAGCTATATGGAAGGTTCTTCTATGTTCTTAGTTACCTGGCTTCGCGTACCCTACTGTGCCACCCACCTGCATGGTTTTGGGCAGGGTATCAGTGCCAGTGACAGAATTTTAATCAAGGTACCAAATCCTTTCCGCGAATGAATCAGCCCCCAGATCGTTGCAAACTGCATCACTCTCACCCAGCACAACTGCCCCGTATTCTTCTATGGGCTCTCCTCTGCCGACACAGTCAACGAAGAGGAGAGAGAAGAGTGGTGGGACGGGGGCAGCTAGAGGACAAAAAAGTCGGCGGTCGCGAGAAGGCTCTTTAGTTTAAAGCCAACAAAACTGATTTTCGACCCACCCTGATTTTCAAATCCATCGTTCTTTATTGTTCATCAATCACTTGACCTCATCTGACCTCCTTCTTGAGAGGCGTCAAACTCATTTCATGTCTGTATTAACAGTAGTATCGGCTGAAGGAATTTGAAGGAAGTAGGAATGAGTAAGCGTCCTTGTCGAGTTGCCCGCTCTGCAGGGTCTGAAAGGGTTCTCTCGTCAAGCGGCCATGGTCATACAACATGCTGCACACCTGACGGAAATTCAGACAGACACAACAGCCACTTTGATGACCGTTGATGAGTTGAGGATCAGACTGATCTCCGTCTTTGAAGATGCAACGTGTTTGACGATCCTTCCTTTGGCTTGCGCTACGTATGACTATTTATTTGGATTGTTACAGCCCTCATAGCTATATCAAAGGCTGGAGAGTGCAGTGTACTCGTACTGTCTTCTTCGGCTCCGGGCTTTTGGAGCACAATATGAGTACTCGAGTACAGTCACGGCTGAGAATTATGATGAAGAAGGCAGGGTGGTACTTATGCGAGAGACATGATAAATGCATAGCTCTAACGAATTTGGCGAAAAGAACCACCTTCTTGACTGGCATAAGTTGTCTGTCCTGAGAGCGTGCAACTCTTTGCGAGTGGCGGACAGCATGACTTTGGATGACTTGTTGGTGTTGGTGGAAAGTGAAAGTCGGTCATGCGATTTGCCCCTGCTGGCAGGTTGGGACGGATGTAACCTGTGGCCTGCGGCGCAGACTAAATCGATACATAGCTACGACTTTACGAGAAAGGTATACGAGAGGGTATGGCCACTCCAAGGCCAAGCTCCAAGCTCCAAGCTCCCAACGTCCAAGCAGGCAGGCGGGAGTTCCAACGGACGGAAGGGAAATGCGCTAAAAAATCGATACCCTAGCTTGTCACCTTCCGCCTTCTGTCTTGCGCCTTCTTCTGCTGTTCGCCAGTCGCCAGTCCTGGGTCGTGGAGTTGTAGATGTTGCATGATAGGCGAGAGGTAAACGGGGATTGAATACATATTTCATCCAGAAAACGAAGGCAGGAGACGGTAAGAGAAGGCGGAGGAGGGAGGTGGGAGGAGGGAGGAGGCGAGAAAGAGAGTTGAGAGCTCAAGATAAGTCTGTCGGTGGCAGATTCGAGAACGGTTCCCATGGATGTTTAAACGCTGAGTTGAGGTGGCTAAAGATGACGAATAGTGAGATTCGCACTTCTGAAGATGCAAAGATACAGCTGGGCCAGCTGCAGCAGCCTGGAACCTGGGAGCTTGAGCGGATTAACGTTGACCTTACGAATGTAGGTACCGTCAGCTGATAAGACTTGCAGTCGTGCGTGGGCCATGGGACGAGTACGAAATTCATTCAGAGTATGATGAGCGTGTGCGACGACAGGACTTGCGAGTTTGATTCCAGCGGTCGTGTCAATTCTATCTGATGCATGAATCTGGTATTTTCACGGCATGCTCATGTATGAATCTGTTAGAATATCCTCCCTGCCCCCCTTCTTACTCGTTCCAGAAGAAAGGCTGGGAAGGGGCATGGAGATGATCGGCGGGAGATCCGAAAATGGGAGGCGAGGGCCGCTTGTATTTGCCACTTTGGGCTGCGCGCCTTACGGGATCTGGGGCGGGGTGTGTTGTAGGCGCGCTGATACCAGCAAAAGGGTGGCCGCGTGGATGCTGCGATGCATAGAACACTCTTAGAAGTGCTTTACATCTCCCTCGTCCCTCTTCCCCCCCCCCCTCTTCCCTTCACCCGCCGCCCTCTGCCCTCAAAGGATCCCCCAAGGTCAGTCCTCCTCTCCACCCCGCATCCAGGGACTCACCCCGACCCTGCTCCCTGTCCATCTCCATCCAAACATCACCCATCCGACCCCCAACTCTGCTCTTCCACCCTCCCTCTGGCCCCTCCGTCCACCACCCCCACCCCCTACCGTCCCAACAGTCACTCAGCTCGACTACGATCACCAGTCATGGCCGACTTTGTAAAACTCTCGATCTTCGGTACCGTGCGTGTTTTCCTGAGTTTTCATCCCCACAGCATTCGCTGGGGACGGCTTGACAGCCACGGCTTGGATGCATACGCTGACCAGAAGACTTGGACAGGTCTTTGAGGTCACCACCCGTTATGTCGACCTCCAGCCCGTTGGCATGGGAGCGTTCGGACTTGTGTGGTGAGTCACCCGTCCTTCTTACCGGACCTTCCCCCAGCTCACATCCCTCGCTTCCCAGTTCTGCCAAGGACCAGCTCTCTGGCACTTCTGTCGCCATCAAGAAGATTATGAAGCCCTTCTCCACCCCCGTGCTCTCCAAGAGGACTTATCGAGAACTCAAGCTGCTCAAGCACCTGAGACACGAAAACATCATCTCTCTTAGCGACATTTTCATCTCTCCCCTGGAAGACATGTACGTTCCAGCCATCGCACCGTTGTATCATGCTGACAGCTTCACAGCTACTTTGTCACCGAACTCCTCGGTACCGACCTCCACCGACTCCTCACTTCTCGACCGCTCGAAAAACAGTTCATCCAATACTTTTTGTACCAGATCCTCCGTGGTCTCAAGTACGTCCACTCTGCCGGTGTCGTCCACCGAGACCTCAAACCCTCCAACATTCTCGTCAACGAAAACTGCGACTTGAAGATCTGCGACTTTGGTCTTGCGAGGATCCAAGACCCGCAGATGACGGGTTACGTGTCTACCCGATACTACCGGGCGCCCGAGATCATGTTGACTTGGCAAAAGTACGATGTTGCCGGTGAGTCGTTTTTGACAGCGTGGTTGGATGTTGGCTAATGTGTGGGATAGTCGACGTCTGGAGCACTGGATGTATCTTTGCAGAGATGTTGGAGGGCAAGCCGTTATTCCCCGGAAAGGACCATGTCAACCAATTCTCCATCATCACTGAATTGCTCGGTACCCCATCCGACGATGTCATCCAGACCATCGCTTCCGAGAACGTGCGCCTCCCTTTCCCTTCCCTTCACCGCCCCGCTCACCTTTTTTTTCAGACCCTCCGTTTCGTCCAGTCCCTCCCCAAGCGCGAAAAAGTCCCCTTCGCCACCAAATTCCCCAACGCCGACCCCACCTCGCTCGACCTGCTCGAAAAGATGCTCGTCTTTGACCCCCGAACGCGTATATCCGCCGCCGACGCCCTCGCACACGAGTACTTGGCGCCGTACCACGACCCTACGGATGAGCCTGTTGCTGCCGAGGTGTTTGATTGGAGTTTCAATGATGCGGATTTGCCGGTGGATACTTGGAAGGTCATGATGTACAGCGAGATCCTTGGTACGTCTTTTTTTTCTCATGATTATTGGGGGGAGGAAGGCTGATGAGAGGGTAGACTTCCACAACCTTGGGGATATCTCACAGAACGAGGCTGAAGGGCCTGTCACTGGTGAAGTGCCCGCCGCCGCCGCGAGCTAAGTCAACCTCTAGATGACACGACGGTGTGGAAGGGAGAAGGGTTTTCTGTTGTTCTGGTTTTGTTTTTGTTTTGTTTCTCTCAGTTCCCCTGAGGGACGACTACAGGAAGATCGTCCCCTCTCATTTTCTTCTTAGTCACTCGAGAGAACAACAATCTACTCTGTTCTTCTTCTCATCAGGTCGTTCTTTTCTCGCGGTTCCACTTCCAATTCCACAATTCTGCTGCTTCTTTCTCTCTCTACATATCCTTACTGTTAGACAATTGTTTTCATATTTATCCCCCAAATCAAATCCCAAAGTAGCCTGCTTCAATTTACCCTTTTTTCCAACCTCCCCCGCACACTGTTTCGATATAAATAATGGTCTTGTTTAGAAGAAAAAATCTATTTTTGCAAGCAAGGAAAGAGGCATGGATCGTCAAATTATGTTGGATCGTTCACTTGTCAACCAATCGGCGCAGGACCATGAATGGGTTGCATTACACCTTCCACCTTCCAACTCCTAACGAAGGGAAAAAGAGTCTTATCGCATCTCAATACCCATCTCCCCCACCACCCGCTCCTGCACCTGTTTCTGCAAAGCACCGACTTCGTCGTTGGATAATGAACGGTCCATGGAGCGGTAGTTGAGCCGGTAACAGCGGGATTGGCGCCCGGTTTTGGGGTGGGTGAATTCGTCGATCTGGGGGGGAGGTGTCTGTTAGCTTTGGCACGTTTGAGGAGAGATCGTAGGGAGGGGGAGGGGGGAGGGAGGGACGTACGAGAGCGACGTTTTCGACGAGGTCGCCGGTGATCTCGCGGACGATCTCAAAGTAGTCATTCTCATGGAACACCCGCCCCTTACCCCCGGCAGCACCAGCACCAACACCCCCTTCACCCTTCTCTTCTCCTTTCCCACTCTCCACCCCCACCCCCCCCGCGCCCTTGTCCGCCACAGCCCCGACAGCCCCGACAGGCAGCCAGAAGCTCATGTCATGATAACAAGCCGGATACTTGCTATACGGCCTGAACGTCGTTATCTGGCCGGCGGAGAATTGAGAGTGGAAGCGTTGGTCGAAGGACCAGAAGAGGCGGATGTCGGGGATGGAGAATAGGACCATGGAGAGGCGTTCGAGGCCGAGGCCGAATGCCCAGCCGGCTTTGTTTGATACGCCTGTAAAAACACAAGGGTTTAGTTGGGGCACGAGGAAGAGAGGATAGAGAAGAGGAAGGGGACGGACCAGCTTGGTCGAGGGTTTTCTGCATGACGACGCCGCAGCCTAGGATCTCGAGCCATTTACCGTCCCACCAAACTTCGACCTCGTAGCTCGGGGTGGTGAACGGGAAATAAGCTTCTATCCAGCGTACCCTCAACGGTTCGCCCGTCTTGGTCACGACGTGCCCGAAGAGCCGGAAGATCAAGCTGTTGAGCGAGTGTTTGAGGTGCTGCACGATTTGGGCGGCGTGCGCTGGGTCGTGGTGCGGCTGGTAAGGGTTGGAAGAGGAGATGGAGGTGGTATCTTCGATGAGGATGGGGCATGAGGCGAGGGAGGCGGCGAGTTTGGCGTTGAGCTCGGGGAGGGTACGCAGCTCGTCTTCAGACCAGACGTGGGTGCCTTCCATCTGGTGAAAGACGGGATAGTGGGACGAGTCAATCTCATCCCTCCTATACACGTCGGCGCTCAAGAGCCACTGGTCCAGCCCTTTCCTATAACTCTCCACTTCATGCGCGCTCGTATGCGTCCTCAGCATGTGCTCTTTATTCAAATAATAACTATCCGTCATACTCCTCCCAGGATGGTCTGGGGGAAAACCGAGCTCATCAAAGTTCTGATGCACGCTCACAGCGGGCGTCTCTGGTATAAGCGCGGTATAGGCAGAAAAGTGGTCTTCGATGATTTGGCGGATGATGGCGATGGGGTGTGCGGGGAGGAGGTGGAGGTTACGCCCGGTTTTGGAGAGGATGGTTGGGGGGCAGTTGGACCAGGCGTCGGTGGGGTAGAGGCGGTCGTTTATGAGGTAGGGCGGACGGGGGGTGGAGGTGGATTGGGAGCGGGTGAGGAGGGGGCTAGCGCGGCAGCGGAGGATGGATGGGCAGAGTGCCCTTTTAGGAATGAGGGGGGCGAGGCGGCTGGCCATGGTGGTGGCGTCTTGGGGATAGGCTTGTTTTCATACATTCCAGCATTCGTCTCAAAAGTCAGAGGAGATTGGCGCTCCTTACGTAAGCCTTCGGACGGCCGTCGTCGTCGTTCTGACTGACTTGTCGCATGGTTTGGTTCCATATTTTCCGTCTTGCATTGCATGTCAGGGAGTGGCCGACAAGCGGCGGGACCCGTAAAACAAAAAAGATCGCTCGTTTCCATATTTACATGTTACAAGTATCAGACCCGCTCGACAACTCGTCGCGGGCAAGTTTTTAGACTGATTACAAAATGTGAATTACGTGTACGTACCGCCTAAGTTAGCAGCAGGAAAGTACATGAAGTGAGTCTGGCGGAAACAGCAACAAAGGCAACAGAGGTGGGCAGACGGGCGAGAACTTGGCGAGAAGGATGCATATAATACAACAGATAACGGCAGAGGTGACTACTTTCTGGAATTCTTGGTGGAGCCGGAGGAGAATTTGACTGCAGGCTCATGAGGGCAGGCGACGTTGGGGCGTCGGTGGACAGGGGTGGCGCAATACGGGGAAGAAGAGGTAGCGGAAGAAGAGAAGGTGATGCAGTAGACACCGAGACCGAAGGGCTAGAGGAGTATTGGTGGGGAGTGTTTCTGGAGGACGTCCGGGTTTGTCGACCTTCATTCGTGATGGGGCATGGTAGTCAAAAGGGGTTTTGATGGGGCAGATGCGGGCTTCTGGTTGTAGAGATACGTACCGGTGGGAGGGAGATTGATGTGTGCCTTCGAGGCGGAGTGAATGAGCAGGGCAGAAGTGGCGTTGCCGTCGTGGGCGATGTTACCAGAGGAGAGAAGAGGTCACGAGGTTTGTGGTGGGAGTCATGAGCGACCCAGGAGAGGATAGTGAGAGGGTTCTCGCTGTCGATAGTGTTGACTATAGACTGGAAGAGCTTGACATCGGGGCGGCCCGAGCTGTTAATGGCTTGTATGAATGCTGTACCTTGACCCTGGGACCAGGTGTTGGAGACAGAAGCGACCATGATTAAATGATGTGGCACCCTCGGTAAGATGACTTTGCCTCTGAACAGCAGGAAGAGAAGGCGGCTTCATGAGAGCGAGAGCGTCTGGTGGTGGCTGGACGTTTGCCTGCCCAGTGAAGAGTACTACTGCATTCCTCGCATACATAGTCGCAGAGACCGATAGAGTACTGGGGTACATTGCCCTCCGGATGAGACCGAAGGGCTAGAGGGGTGTTGGTGGGGGGTGTTTCAGGAGGACGTCCGCCTTTGTCCACCTTCGTTCGTGGTGCACAGTAGGGCTTGGTAGTGGAATGGGGGCTCGATGGGGCAGATAGAGGAGTGTCGGTGGGGGATGTTTTTGAAAGACGTCCGCCTTTGTTGACCTTCGTTCGTGGTGCTCTGTAGGGCTTGGTAGTAAAAAGGGGTTTTGATGGGGCAGATTTCGGCATCTTCGAGGGAGCGAGCGAGTGATAGAGCAAGATGATGGTAACGATGGGAGGAAGTTGAGAGGAGACTGAAAGAAAATTGAGAGTCAGAGGCGAGCGAAAGGCGGGTGGTGATCCCAGCGGCGTTGAGTGGTTGTCGGGAAGAGTCGGAAAGTCGGAAGTTGTTGGGCGCGCGTGAACGTGGTGAGGGGAGTGAAATGCATGATTGAATGATGAGCTCTGCAGCTGGATACTGTGCATGTGGATGACGAGATGAAAGCGAGAAACGCCAAAAGAAGAGGCATGACGCTCGGGGGACCGAGGCAGCACTGGAGAACGTCGCGACGAGGGCCGTAATAGGGCTGGAAGATGGTTGATGAAACGGCGGCTGTTTCTCGCACGGTAGGGCTTGCAGCTGAGGAGCGGCTCCCAGGTGCAGGTTCTTGCGATTCGGAGAAAGCGAGAGTGCGAGAGCGCGAAAAGAGCGAGGATGAAAGCGAGAAGTGCGAAAAGAAGAGGCATGCTGATGCCGCACGGCGGCGATGAGCGACGGGGGACCCTTGAAGCTTATTTTAAGGTTCATTTCCAGTTCGCCATGAGTGGCCTATGCATGCATGGGTCAAAAACGGTACGGGGAGGAAGAGCTATTTTTTCTGGGGGGGGTCGGTGCGAGAGGTGGAGCGAGGCGAGGGCTAGGGCGAGCGCTGGAAGGGAACGGAAGCAAACGCGGCAGTTGCAATATTCTCGCTCTCCGTCGTTCTTCCGCCGCTGCCTGCCACTGCATTTGCACACACCATGCCCTGGCAGAAACAGTTGTGCGTACCACTCGGGGCTCATCCCCGCTCACCCCCGCTCACCCCTCCAGCACCCTCCCCCCAAACACAAAGGGCATGCATCTCGTCACCAGCGACGTCTTGCATGCCTGCCAGGAAGGCCTCAAGGGCGTCGACGTCGGTATCTTTACCCTCCACTGCCTGCACACCTC